AGGCAATCCTAACTATATATAGTTACATATATTTCTGTATAGGAGGATGGGCTCTGAGCTGACCGCCACCAACCAGAATCCTGGTGTTGTAATTCTCAATACCATGAAAACACACTCAATGCTTACCACCAGTTTAATCAGTATGAAATGTTTTGAAAGTTCTAGGAATGAACAAGAGCAAACTGAACATACAGTGATACCACTGGATACATATTCACAGCTAACCTGCATTTTGAATACTAGCTGCAGTTCTGAATAGGCCAGACCACTGACGAGATCCCCCTCATGGAGCTGTGTAGACTAGTGGATGGTTGGAGTGGCCAAGTGAGAGCCTAAGCACATCACAGGGCTGTTCTGAACTCAAGCATAAGGCAAGTAACACAGTTTAAGTGTTTTTGTGGCCATGAAGGTATTGTCATGGTAGCAACAGGCCTCAGGCCTTAGGTTAACCCTGCTAGACCCTGGGCTGGCCTGTCAGGCTCATTAACAATTTGTTATGAGAGCTGAAGTTTACTAATTCTTACTTTATTATGGTGGACCACTGGAGTGTGGGTCCTTGAAACAACAGCAAGGGCCTTGAAAACATGGGCACTGTTTGATAACAGGCCACAGAACAATAAAGTGGCAGTACATTGCTGGACAAGGACAATCTCAGGATTTCTAAAAAGTATTTTGGCTTTAAGAAAAGCAGGAGTTTTTCTTCAACATCAAATCAACAGAAAAGGGTTGTGGGGGAGAAGCCAACCAACATGGTAAGGTGCTTGCTGTGGCCTAAGAAAGTTATCCTTCAGCATCCTTCAGCAAGTCACAAGGGATGCTGTAAGTTAAAAACAGTCTAGAAATCCAGCCAACCTCCAAAGCAGTTAGATCATTCAAGGCTGAGAGAAGGTGGAACTTACCCCTCAGTGCTAAGAGCAGAGAATCAGCTCTTTGCTGCTGTACTTTGCACTGAATGCATGACTGGTAAGGACTGCTGTCTTTTAATTAAGTGTATAGTGACACTGAGTGACAGTGCTTTAGGCAGCTAAACATCAGCATGAAGGGTGTTACTACTGAAGGGTCAGTCTAAAAGCTTTAAAACTCACCTGATTAATCAGTTGGCTTAAGATTCCCACCATGCTGTGCAAACAGTCATATTCAGTGGGAACACCTAGAGAGGTGCTGATCTGGAACAAAGCTTCCAGAAATACTAATTGGTCTCTGCATGGACGTTCTGACCTGGGGTGGCCATTCCCACAGAGAGACAATTTGCTCCATTCCTCCCACAGACCCCAGCAGCATTTTCACAGCAGTACTCCAATGGGGAGATTTGACAGCCTTGGAAAATACCATCCTGTTGCACTGTGACCTCCCTGAAAAGTTCCTACTGCCAAACTGTAACAACACACCAAATGCTAGGTTTTACCCTTGCCAGGAATAAAATAACTTTTAGTGTTTCTTTCTACAAAGAAAATGCATTAACAGTTAAAACTGTAACAGTTAAAACTGTAATTTAAAACGGCAGAAATTTAAGAAATATGACAGCTCCATTAGCCAAACTGCACTCGATAGATCTTCAGGGCCTGTACTCACACACTGACATGTGAAGTTATATTAAATCCGCTAGAGAAGTTTTTTTTTTACGAAAGCATTACTCGCCTAATGTGTAATCCCACCTTTTTTCTTTCTGGAGGTATAACACGTGAAGGCAAGTACGGGCGAGAAGAAAACGCGTTCCGGAAATCTAGCGCTCGCAGAAGTTGTTCCTGTTGAAGTGCAGAGAAAAACAAACACTATTACGACTTTTTACATGCAGTGATAACGTTTTATGCTGATTTCATGGAGGTGAGGCTATGAAACCCGCTCCGTTTTTCACAGAGAGCAACAAGAACTCCTGCTGGGGCCGTGGTCCCCGCGCCGGCCCGCTCCCGAGCAGGGAGGCAACTCTGGCACTGCCCAAGGGATGCTCCCAGGCACGGCACAGGGACGAGAGACAGCGCTCCCGTCCCCAAAGGCACTGCCCACCGCATACCCGGTAGGCACTGACGACAAAGGCGACTCGCTGGCGGGTGGTCTCCGCCGGCTGGAGCGGGTGGGCGGCCGCGGGGAGCGCCGCTTCGTACAGATACTCGGAGCCGCAAGGAGACAGCAGCAAGCGGGACCCCCCCGCGTAGTGCACCTCCACCGAGTCGTCCCCAAACAACACCATCAGCCTTTCCGCCTCCATCGCACCGGAGGCCGAGCCAGAACCGCGGGCAGTGCTCGACCGAGGCCACTGAAGCGACCGCGCCGCCGCACGGCGGGAACCGCAGGGCAGGGCGGGGCGACCGCCCGAGCTGCCGCCGAGCTCCGCCCGAACTCACGCCGAGCGCTCGTAGAGCTCCGCCCGAGCTGCCGCCGAGCTCCCCTCTATGTCCTGCTGAGCTGCTTCCCAGCGCGGTACGTCCTTGAGGTATCTGTGCCTTCCTGCTCTCTCAGGCAAGATGAGCGCATTCCGTACACACATCTGTAAAATAAGCTTGAGGGAACCGCACACGGTGTCCTTGTACTTTCTTTTCTTAATAAATTTTAAAATAAATTTTTATTTGCTGAAAACGGGAGGTGTGTGTGTGTGGGGGTGTTTGTGAGGAGGGGTGAGCCAACACACAGCTCTGTACCTAGAACTGGGCAGTAGAAGCCCTATCTGAACAGAAAGACCAAGATGCCAAAGGATAATTTTAACATGATGCCTAGTTGTCTTTTTTTGACTATTATATACACCCTCCACCCCCACCAATACTTACCGTTTAATCAAAGCTGTTTTAAGTAGATTGGCAGTTCACAGCTGAGTGACAATTATTATCAACCCCCACTCCCAGCCCTTAGCAAATCCAGTTGACTAGTCCATATGGTCTCTGTTAGCTCCCTTACTTGCTTAGGGAAGTACATGTTTCTCAGATCAGTGCAATCATCGACTGAGTGCATTCAGTACAACTTTCCATTCTCGACAGCTGTTGTCTCACCAGAGAGTAGATCAACACCCAGTCAAGTGGCTGCTGATTCAGCCATGCATCAAAACAACCTGATTCTGTTCAGAATACCTCTTTTTAATGAGTATTATTCTGTTCAGTAGTTGTCTGAAGCAAGTTTCAAAGTATATATTGGGATTATGAATGAGTTATGAATATTATTATTTATGGATGATACATTGCATTTTGCTCACAATCTCACTGCTCTGGTTGGAACCCTCAGCACAGGAACTGTGGAAGTAGGTCACACAGGCTGAAGCAGAGCTGGCAATCACCAGTTCAGGGTACAGTGTAGCATCTTCCCTGAGTTTTGGCTGGGACGTCATTTTCTGTTTGGTATCAACTAATGATCCACAGGCATCAACTGGATGATTAGAACTATAATTCAGTCAGAGAGAAGTTGCAAACTTCAGCTGTCAGTAATTCAATGAGTTGTGTGTAGTAGGAAGGAAAGGCAGAATGTGACAAGGAAATAATATCCCAGTGAAAAATAAAGATTACTAGTACAAACCAGACCGGGTGTCATTAACATTCACAATGATTTTTCTATTAAAAAAAACCAACCTAGCTATGTGCAGTTTGTGATACCTGTGATACCTGATGTGGTTGGGCCAGTCTTGCTTCTCTCTAGTGGTACAATTATTCTAAAACCCAACAGCTAAAACTCAGTGAGCTCATCTGCTTGAAAAAGAAAAAAAAAAAAAAAGCCAAAGGCCAGTATCAAGAACTTCTTTGCATATTTTAAAAGGAAATACTGAGAACAAGCTGCATTTCTGGATAAGAAAATCACACAACAGCAAAGCACATGCAAAGCAGCAATTCTTCCAGCCCATTTTGAAATTCCTTTAAATAAAGTGTGATTTTCAAATACTAAATATTTTTGCTAAATCATAATAATTTGTCAAGAGTGGGAAATAGTGTGCCTGCTTTTATTGATCTGCAAAGCCTAGGTCTCATGCTCAAATCTGAATGTGAAGCCTGTTTCTTTTCAGAATCAGTGCTAAAGGACCTTGCTTCACATCTCCCCCAAATTTTGCTTTCCATGCTTCTGTGCCTTCACTGATTTACCCTTATGCTATTAAGAAAACAAATATTTTTAAAAAGTTGTACATTTGCAAAGCATTATTCAGAAACCTGTAGATGACAAACACACAGTGCATTTAAAATTTGTAAATGCTAAAATTCAGGTGAAATAACGTTTAAACCTCTTGTGACTCATTTCTGTCATACACAGAACAATGGGTGATTAAGAGTGGGCAAGCAGCAGATAAGGGGATCCTGACAGTGAGAAACCTGCTGCTTTCTTTTGCTCTCTCACATTCACTAGCTTGTATTGAAGTTCTGCAAGATTTAAGACAAGTGGGAAATACTTGAGTGTTTAACTGTTTTTTTAATGCAGCAGGACAGTTAAAACCAATTTTTTCCCACTGCAGTAAAGACTGAAAGCATTTACAAAGTTCATATGTACAGACTAGAAACTTTTACACTAGTTTGAACTGAAGTCTCACTTGATGATTTTTAGTATTTTCAGTGGAGGAAAAACCTTGTAATGCAAACTTGACTTGAGTTGTTCTCTATATATATAGCTCCTAGTTCTTGATTTTTTTTACCCAGTGATTTGGCATGATTATTATCTACTCATAAAATTACTGTTTCCACAAGCTGACAGTATATCTGGAGCTGACAGCTACCTGACAGAAAAAGACGACTCACCACAAATCATGCAAAACTAAAACATGTAAAATGCATGTCCCTTTTAGTCACTGTTACCTTACTGTAAAGCATATAGGAATGTTCCTTGGGACTTTAAGTTCTGAATACAAATAATTTCCACAAGACATCTGCTTGTAAAGCCAGCTGAAAGTCTGACCTGTATTTAGATTAAAAATTTTATATGAAAATTGTGCTCAACTTAGAGAATATGTATTTGAAAGTCATCTAGTTTTTACATTTTTAGTTTCTGGATTTTAGTCTAAAGACTTTGGAATGCTAATACAGTCTTTATGAGCATACTGCATTTTGATACCTTTTATTTTTCCAGCAAGAATCAAAAGATAATCAACCCTGAAATTTGTACTTTGAAGAAGAGAAAGGAGTGCTCAGTGAAGGAGAGACAGAAGATAAAATATCGTTTCTGTTCTAAAGCAAGAAGAAAAGGTAGTGATATTATACCAAAGGAAATAAAGCTACTTAAATTTTATTTTCCAAAACTTCAACCTAAATAAGTATGTTAAATAAACATCCAGAAAACAGCCACTGCTTACTCTACTAGCAGATGCACAACTTATTTAACCAAACAAATAATAGTGAAATATTATCAGAATTATTTACATGCATATTTACAATGCGTGTTCTTTAGAGTAGCTAACTGTTGGGAAATACTTGTGTTTGTTTTTGGTAACAATTTCTACTCAAGTCTAACCAGCAACAGGTAACAGGAAACAGTTCAACTGAGTTTGGCAACAACAACAATGGAGCATCCTAGGAAAACTAACATGATTATATGGAGTCAAAAAAAGAGCAGTTGGCCTCAGAATGTTAACATTTATGAAATATATGAATTTACTCCAACTACAAAATTAAATCAAACTACATAAAATTAGAAGAATAAAAGAAAGTTACAAGGATTGGGAAAGGTTAGACATGTTAGATACATTACTAGAAAAAAAAGCAAAAGAAAAAAAGCACTGCACATACTCTTGAGAAGCATGGCTTAGAGCATAACTGTATTAATATTGCCTTGAAGAACACAACAAATTACAGAACAGCTTTTCTTGTAAATTTGAAAACAAGCTTATCTGAACCAAAGATCTTGAAAGCACCTCACTTCCAAAATACTGCTTGCTTTTTCACATATCAACATGTAACATATTTATTCCAGGAAAAATGAAAAGTCCAGATCTCACCCATGTGTGTTTCGAAAGAAGAAGAAAAAGGAAATGAACAAAACGAAAACTTGTACACAAAACTTTCACAAGCCACTTTTCATGATTGTGAAATATATGAAAAAAAATTTCTTTCTTATTTGGATCATACTCTTCTTGGAGGGGGAAGTGGAGGAAGTAAATGCAAGACATATTGTATATGGTAAATAGAATGAGTAAATCCCAATATATACTAAAGCAAACAAGCAAGCAAATTCAGATCATTATTCTTTCCCTTTCTTCCTCAAGGGAAGTTTTATGGGACAGTTCCCCATTAAATTTTAATTTCAATTATAACTTTTAAATAATTTTTATTGCAGCCAAAACATTGTTCAAAAAACATTTTTCACAAAATAAACTATGATATATACACAACATTTTAAGTTACAGGGCATAAGTTTACATTTTTTGGCAGATTGTGTTAAACAAAATGGAAATTGTGTAACTTTAGTACTTGGAGAAACTCAAGTTTCTCATTTTGGTACAAATGTTTTGTGTCCCCCTTCACTCTAACCATACCTAAAGTGGTTAAATAAACTAACATTAATACATAACATCTCACTGTTGTCTGTTATGTTCTGATTCTAGACAGAATTTTTCATATGCTTCTTCAATTTCTGGATCCATCTCATCATCAATCTCATCAAAATACCTGAGGGGAAAAAAAAAAATTACCAAAGATGTTAGATTTTCAGAGCCAACAGATTTTTAGAATTTGTGTAGGTGTCAAGAATAAAACAAAGGTTTATAAATTACTATAGTTTATGACATTTTCCTAAAAAGAATGAAAAGGAAAAAATAATGGGTACTAGGAAACAAAGAAACCTCAAAGCAGCACAGATATGTTCAAATACCTACAGTGTTTGCCACCTTTTCAGATCACCTTACGCTGCCCAGTTTAAAAGACAGAAGTAATTTCCAAGAGGATGGAAAATGAAATCATGCAATCCACGCTTCCCAAAATTTAATAATGCATCTGTACTGATCCAATTACAAAAAACCGTAATTACTAACATATTGCTGTAATTTTGATTGGTCAACATCCTAGTTCAAAGACAGAATACATTAATATAGAAACCCTGCATTCCTGTTTGTTGATATGTAAAAGAAGGACATAGAAAATGTGTAAGAAAAGGTTTTTGCTTCAAAGTGTTGTGCATTGAGGAAGCAGGCTACATATTTCTCATTTGTTCCTTCTTTCTTGTAGAAGTGTAGCCTACAGACAAAAGAGGCTCACCCTCCTCCCTGATGTCATCATGAGAAATAGCTGACAGAGAATCAGCAGACATTTGTCTAAGCTTTTCTTAAGCCTTCAACAAAGCAGGTTACAGTCACCTTCCTTGAAGGTTTACTTAAGAGTGTTCTACATGTCACTCTTAGGATTTGCTGTGTTTTTTAACGGATATCTGTGTTCAATTTGCATTTTTCTTCTAAGCAGAGGTTCACATGGGTCTTTTTTTCCCTTCAGTACGAGCTTGTGGACTTCTGATGACATCTCTAATATATCTTCCAAAGTTCTTGACATTCCCCTCAGCTAGGTACACAGTGAAAGTTTTCTAATTTACTAAAAAAATACTAATCCAGGCCTCTACTCTTATCACACATAAAAACAACACTGAAAATGTTATTGTGTGTCAAATCATGGTCTGAAAGACCTCTTCTATGAGCAAAAAGCTCAAGCAATTTATTTTAGACCATATTTCTTTTGTATAAACTGGTGCCAAAATATCAGACTACATTCTTAACTATTGCTTCCCCTTTTCCCATTAGTTTGTCTTTCTTTCTCTACAGGAATACTGAGTAGTCCTCCTAATTGAAGGGAATAGTCCTTAGGCTGAAGAGAGGAAGTTAACACTTTCTCCCTTTCAAAGACACTGGAAATTCAGTAATCATCTCTTGCTGGGATGTTCATGCACATCAGTCAAACAAATTTAGGTTGCCTCTCTACAAACACTTGAAGGCTTGGTGCTTCATTTTGCTTGCAATTTTTTTCTTAAGTGAAGAAGTATATTTGCACATGTCCATAAACATCTGAGTTACATCTGAAATGTAATTACCATACTCAGTAGAATAAACATGAAACAGGTTTCAAACTTGTGTGATTAAAAACCAATTTAAACCTGAACAAATGCATCTACTGTAGAACCAAGTAACAAAGTAACAATTACATTATTTAATTTCATTTTTGTCAACACTGGAATCCTAAGTCTGAACTATCACAGCATCACAGTAAAAATAACTATTATTAAAAAATATGTCACTAAAAAACATACAGCTCTCCAGGTCCTGACAGATCTGCTCCATTTTCTTCATAATATGGAAACAAATCCTCTCTTTCAAGCAGCTCTTGGTATTTTTCTTGATAATCTGGCAAAGTAAAAATGAGACTGAGTAACATATAAGACTACTCTGCTAAATTAACAGAAATACATAAAGTTTGAAAATTGGCTGGTTAATGAATTCATAAAAGGCGGGAAACATATTTACAGGAAAAGACCCTATTGCAGTGTTTTCTCAGGACATGAATGGATGTCTAGGAATGATGGCTAACTTCTCATAGAACTGTAAAGGTTATGACAGATGTCTTTACCTCAAATTGTTATGCCCTGTTGTGCTCAGATTACAGATAAGGAGACCAAGGATTTTGATTTTATTTTGATACTACAATGGACAAACAAATGAAGACTTGAATATTCTGATTTCTGGAAAGGTCAGGTGCTGTGGACTACTGGACAAGTTCTTCTGAGCTATATGAACTCAAATGCACATTCTCCATTTCAAACATCTACCTTCTTTAATGCAGAATAAATCCTGTGCTCTACCAAACCAGGAATTCAAGCAGAATTTTGTCTTTTAAGTTACATAGGTTTTAGATTCTTGAAGAATAACACTTCATTTTCTTCAGCAGGCCATAAACTTAATTACAACTTTTTAAAGAAGATTGAAAAGACAGGTAAGGTGAACTTGTGCCATACCTGGGTCTGCTGCAGTGAAAGGAACGCCATCAGAAGTGTAAAACGTTGGTTCATTCTAAAAATAAAGTCATACAGAAAGTTATATGTATTCAGAGAGAAAGAGGTTTGTACTTTTGAGTAATGCAATTATCTATGAATCAAACCAAATTCACATGAATTAAGGAACTGAAATGTCCATATATTCTTACCATAAAATAGTTTGGGTCATTTTCAGGGGTAGCTTCTGCATGTGGAGTTGTTCCATGAACTCTACCCCAGTTACTAGATCGCAGTTCTACTAGTTTCAGAAGCATGTGTTTCACATCTCTGAAATAGAGAAGCACAACAGTTAGAATGTTTTGTGCCAAGCAAGAAATTTGGCTTCTCTTACTGTGCAAATACAAGATAGTTAAATCCATCCAAAAAAACAAGTTCAAGAACAATAAAATTTGGTCCATTGTGTAGATAATTTTGAATTCAATTTTACAACTGCAAGTCTAGATGCTTTCTGTGCCAATTATGAGATATTCACCCTCTCCACTTCCTCGGCTGTTAAGTAAGGAGCTCATATGAAAAAGGAAATTTCTGTAGCTTTTACTGAGATACCACACCAGGCAGTACAAGCTGAAGAACACAATCCTTTTTGATAAAAGGATAATACTGGGAAAAAAAGGAAGATGATCTTCAAATTTTATTTTAGTTATCTATTCTATGCTCCTAGCTTTAGTCTTCTTCATCATAATGAAATGTTTTAGTCAAAAGTAAGAAGTAATGCCCCCCATATCTTAGATACCAACACCCATTTCATCCCTAAAATAAGAGAAAATTCCTTCTTCTTTTAAGCTAGTTTATGGAGAACAGTATCATTAAAGAATGCAAAAAAAAATCAGTTATTTTCCCAGCTGAAACTGATGCCAAATTGATTTTTGCCTTTTTAAAAATATATTCTCTATATTCTTTACATGTGTATTTATAGCTCCGTAGCCTATTACAGTATTTGCATTTTATCTACTGGCTAGCATTTTATCTACTCTGTTAGACAGAGTGACTGAAGAAATTCCTCAGCAGCTCCAAGCCACTGGTCCAAGGTTAGATTCTCTGGGAAGCCAAGGTTGAGACCAGCTGTCCCAGACACATTTTCATAAACAAAGTTTAGTTCCTATCTGAGCGGGGGAGGAATTCAGAAAGGGTTGCCCTGGGGGGGAATTACCTCACCACTTATGTCTCTACCTGGGGATCCCTGTCAGTTATGCTGATTTGCTAAACATACAGAAATTGTATACACATTATGCTTGGTGTTCATCTTCAGCTCTTTTCCACCCAGTGAGTTGAGCACCTAAAGATCCTTGTAAGATAACCCCTTTTTGTCACTTGCGTCTGGCTCATGATTTTAGGACCAGCAAAAAGGCATCAAAATTTGTTTGTTGTTCTATATATTTGAAGCCTCAGCTTGTGCTATCTATTTTGAATCCTGAAGGAAAAATTTCCTCATCCTCCTTGGGGTCACCTCAGTTACAACCCACAGATGTTATGAGCCACTCTTGGCCTCTCTCCATATGGTAAGAGATCAGTGTCTGAGTCCTCTACAAGTTTTTAGTAAGTTTGCAAGAAGCTGAGGATGAAGCACAGCAGAATCATGCACACTGGTGGTTTTATAAGAGTTTTATGATAATAGTCAGCTACTAATATATTACTAATACATTAGTTAACCACTCATTTTTTTCCAGATTAAAGCTAAGACCTTGCCAAACAGGTATGCTCTCCGGAAAAAAAAAAAAAAAAAAAAAAAAAAAAATCAAACCACAAAGTATATTTCATTTTGCCTTTACATTTATAGTAATTTGTATGTATTTAATACTGCTACATATTTAGTACTTTTTGTATGTATTTAAGGCTGTTCAATTCAAAACTGAAAGTATAAACTATGAGATATTGCCCCTATTTTCTCTTTGTATATACTTGCTTTAAGAGCCTAAAGCACTTACCGAAGACATTGAGACCTAATAGGTTAAAAAACCCCAACTCAACAGTGGAACTTGAATCTCTATTAAGAACTAAAATACAAAAAACCCACCCCAAAACAAAATCAACTCAACTGCAAAAAAAGCTACATTACCCTTCAACTGAAAAACACCTTTTATTTTTTTTTTACATGGAAAATGACCTACACACATGACATGTTAATGTTCATAAATATAAGTTTCAAAGATAATTTTTTGGACTTGTTCATTATAGTTGAAGATTTTTCAAGGTGTTCTCTTTCATATAAACAAAACACTGCACATAAACTTATCTTCTCACCTGCTACAGTTTGCATCCAACACAACATTTTCAATTCTCTGAATAATTTCCTCCATATCATTCTTTCCTTTTTCTTTCCAGGCATCTTCTAAAACAGAACCTGTCAACTGAAGAAAAGGGATTAGTATTTTTTTAAAGAAAATTAGAAATCCTTAATAAACAGTCAACTTAAGAGATTCTGCAACAATTCATGACAGACACTTGGACTACCTGGTGGCTGACACTCCCAGCTGCCTGTATCTCTTTTCTAAACAGATTAGCAGCTCTCATAAATAGTTTATTTTAAACTACAGACAGTGTAGGAGCTCTGTGTCCAATATTTATGCTACCTAGAAGTTCAGAGCCACTTGTTTCAGTCTTGAAATATGATTTCAAAACAACTCTTCAGTGACATTGGTCAGATCTTACTTTATTTTAGTACATATTACCATCATTTATTTCCTTTAAATCTTATTTTTGCAGCTGATTCCACCATATGACAACAGGAAATACTTTATTGAGCTTTAGAAACACTTCTGTCATCTTGGGCAGAATCACACATGCCAGAGAATTTCTTCTGGGTATATATGAAGGAGACCAGGATTATGTGAAGAAGCCAACCTGAACTTTAATATGTCAAAGTCTATGAGGCTAAAGCTGCTGTCAGGAAAGCTTCAACGGTCTAGAGCAGCTGTGGATGAAAGCTTTTTACTACAAGAATAGGTATTTCATTGCCAATAATTGCACAGGAGGAATTAAATCAGAAAAAAAAATAGTTTGCCACTAACAGCAATCTCCTCAGCATAAATATTACATGATCAAAAACGCCTGGAATGTTTTTTAATGACACAAAGTGATAAAATCCCAAGAGAAAAGCAAGTATATTGGTCAGCATTTGCTTGCCATTCGTAGTATTCCACAGTGGTCTCACCTTAATCCTGGATAATTAGGAAATAGCATCAAGATTAGTTAAAAATAAACATATTGCACAACAAACAGAGAAAAACCTCTATCACTGTATTAAATGGGAAAGATAAAATGAGACATTTATTACTTCAGTAGTGAAACCAAGGTTTCATGAGGCAGCCTAGTCTAGCTACATATATACTCAACATTTGTGAATACTATAAACATCAGAAAACACTTGCATGAAAAAACAGTCTCTGTTCTGCAACACTTTTTAGATATGTGTCATAAAACAATTTAGATGACTGGTTTTCTTCTTCCTCTTTACTGCACCGTAAAGCCTCCTGATTTGTGTATTGCTGCTTAAAAAGGTTCCTCAATGGGCCTTGCCTCAGGGAAGCACTGCCAACATAAGGACTGACCACAGGAGTGAATGTGCTCACTGAGCACCATCTAACACTTGCTGTCAAGCAACCTCCTTAAACATCCAAACGTCAAATGAAGGTTTTAAATTACAAAAATCTCTCTTCCCTACTCTATGTTTATGATATCAAAAGAAGCTGTCAGAAATGAAATTCAAGATAGAACAGGCTGAGAAGCAGTGGAGTATGAGGAAGGGTAAAGAATGAGGAAAAAATGTAAGTCAACCAAAAATCTTCAGAAACATTCTATTTAGCATTTACCCTTCATTCCTAATTTAAACCGCTTTCCCAACTACAAGTATAATGATACCTAGTGAAGATAAGAGTTTCTGTTACACAGCGGCTAACCATTTTACAAGAAAAGTTATGGGTTATGAGCAAAGGGGTTTATTTCCAACATGAAAGAGAAACTTATATATTTCTACAATAGTAATGACACAGCACAGAATGAAGCAACAGATATTAAGAACTTTTTGCCACAAAAAGTGGTGGACCCCAATGGCCAAGTGTCCCTCAGAACACACAGCATACCTAAGATATCACAATTCATTCAGACTGGTTACAGTTTTCTCCCACACCAGAAGCAGCAAAATGAGATCTAGAGGAACCATGCATTTGTTGGCAATTTAGCTTCAGTTCTATTGCTCATTTGTACACAAATGGCCTTGAATTTATTTTTAGAGCATCTTGTTACTTTTTTTACTGGCTCAATTTCCAAATGGTACTAAGGAAAACAAAAAAGTAGTTTGCTCTGCTAATACTGTAATGTATAAACCCCTACAAATACTTCCTCATTTGGAATTTACCCTACTATTCCCTATATTAAAGCTAGGCAGTTTAAAAAACTTGATTTTTTTTTTCTTTTAAAACTACTGTCTCACCTTCAGCAGTTTCACTGCACATATCAAATTACTGTCCACAGGATTAGAGAAGAGTGCATTCAGTAATTCCCGAAGGCCTTCTTGAAGAATTTCTGCCCGTGTAACCTGTCCCTTTGTTCCTTTAATCTGCAAAACATATAAAAACCCCTCCAATATTCAAAATACTTAAGTTTTAGAAATTAATTTGGGCACATTTTCTCTGTTGAATGCTGTATTATTTAGTTTGTGATCAACACCATTGACATCTATATGCCAAACACTGTAACCATTTTAGAGCACAGACTTTCACAGAATCATAGAATGGTTTGGGTTGGAAAGAACATTAAACATCATCTAGGTCATCACCTACCTCAATCTGCTGGCCGTACATCTTCTGATGCATGTTATGTTGAGGTCCTCATCCACCAACACCCAAAACCCTTCTCAGCAGAGCTGCTCCTGACTGATTCAGCCTGGATTTGTGCCTGGCCCAGATGAGTACCTTGCACTTGACCTTGTTTGCATGGTCCCACCTCCCAAGCCTGTTTTGGTCCCTCTGGGTGACATCCCTTCCTGCCAGCACACTGACTGCACCACACAGCTCAGTGTCAGTGGAAAACTTGCTCTGAGTAATCTCCTTGCAATTCTGGCATAATAATGCAAGTCTAGAATTTTGTTTCTCTGCTAACAATTTGCTAAGAAAAGCTACCAAATGCCTGTGTAATGGTCCAAAAAAACAAATTCCCAGAACCTCATGCTCTTTTCCACACTGCATTACCTATTCTCTACAGCAGTGGTAGCTTAGTTCTAGAAAGCAGTCTTTACATAATAATATAATTAAAAAATTACAGAAAATGGTTTAAAACCAAATAGTATACTCCAAGGAATACGGTATACTCCACAAATGGACAACTTCCCTTGTTCCAAAGTCTTTCAAAATCTTAATTTTCTTCTTCTAGCAAGTGAAAAGTAGATTTCAAGGACCACTTAAGGTCCAAAAATGGAAGAGTTAGAGAAGGATCTTCCTCATGCCAGCAGAACATTTTTATAGTGTTTGCTTAAATCAAGCCACTGAAACAATCAAGTTATATGTGTATTTTTAACTACATTACAGCAGAAAGTGAACTTGGTGAATGCACAGGCATAAAAATAAAAAAAAATTGTACATATTTTTGAACATATCATACATGCATGAAGTTGCTAAATACAAGACTGCGTACTTCATGCATGCACCAATAACTCAATCATCAGAAGAAGTACCTTTAAAAGTCTGCATTTTTAATTCTTCATTTTGCAGATTCTCACATCTGCCTCAAGGGTTTGGTAACACCTCTTATTAGCACCTGAATACTGAATAACATGTTTTTGATCCTGATCTGCTTCTGCTGGGCATTTAATAGCATTTAATATGTTGGTTAAGTATAGCCATCTAGGGGTTTTGTCAGTAAAAGAAAATAAAAGCTTAATTTCAAAGATGTTTGTGGTTGGCTCTTCCCACAAATTCTTACACTTTCATTTTTATACATTTCTAATCATCTTGTCCTTTTTTGTTTATATGTTTCTTGGACAAAAGCATTATAATGAAACTGTTCTAAAGTTCTTTTACTTTACTGCCCTCTGCCTTTAGAAAAACACCCCAAATTATAGTCCACTTCACTGTTTACCTACACACAAGAAAAAATGTATGAAGAGCCATGAGACCCCTGACTTTCTTCTTACCTCCAAGTTAAGATAAAGTTCAGCTAAGAACAGCACAAAGGCATGAAATTGTTTTCTAGTAGTCTCATCCCCTTTGGTAGCCTCATCTCTGTTTTCATACTCCGTTCGACACCTGTAAAAATTAAAGCACAATTACACCATCTGTAGTCATTCCAACATATGTAACACGCTACTCATTTAAAGGAATGCTGAGAACTTATGAACTGCATGAAAGTTGAATGCTGGGATGTATGATCTGTGAAGGGAATGAGAGGCCTTCACAAAGAAACAGTGGATTTGTATCATTTTAGAGAAACACATATGATTAGATGATTAGGTCTTTAAGCACTGAGATATTTAATGCAGTAAAATTAAATAGAACAACTTACAACATGTAGAAATTAATAGTCACACAATTTTTACAACTGAATACGGGTCCAGGATGTGCAACAGTAACACAGGCAGCCAATGCCTGAAGAAATGAAGTAGACATGTTCCCCTCTTCAGGATGCTTACCACATTGTCTTAGATGCCTTTACACTTATTTGATTAATTCTTTATCTTGCCATGTTAAGTGACAGTAATACATCATTCATGACACCCAGCTGAGTGGTGTTAAGTGACACTCTAGAAAGAAGGGATGGCACAGGGACCCTGACAGCCTTGAGAGGTGGCCTTGTGCAACTCATGAAGCTCAACGAGGCCAAGTGTAAGGTTCTGCATACAGGTCAGGGCAATGCCAAGCATTAAGAACAGCTTTGGCAGGAAAGTGGTTGAGAACAGTCCTGCCAAGAAGAACTTGGGGTGTTGGGCGATGAGAAGATCGATGTGACCTTGCATGCTTGAAGCCCAGAAAGCCAATTGTATCATGCATCCAGAGCCCTGTGGGCAGCAGGGGAGGGAAGGGATTCTGCCCCTCTGCTCTGCTGAGACCCACCTGGAGCACTGCATCCAGAACTGGGGTCCTCTGGACAGGGAGGACACAGACATATCGAGTGAGACCAGAGAAGGCCAGTAAGCTGACCATAGGGCCTTAGCATCTCTCCTATGGGCATAGGCTGAGAGAGCTGGGATGCTCAGCAGGGAGCAGAGAAGGCATCAGTGACACCTTGTAGCACCTTCCAGTATCTAAAAGGGGCCCCAAAGAGTGCCGGAGAAGGACTTTTCACATGGGCTTGTAGTGACAGGACAGAGGGGAATGGCTTCAAACTGACAGAGGACAGGTTTAGACTAGATGTTAGGAAGAAATTTTTTACTGTGAGTGTGGTGAGGCATTGAGACAGGCTCCTAGAGAAGCTGTGGATGCCCCATCCCTGTGTTTAAAGCCAGGCTGTATGGGGCTCTGAGCAACCTGGTATAGCGGAAGGTTCCCTGGCCATGGCAGAGGGGTTTGGAACTAGATGATTCTTAAGGTCTCTTCCAACCCAAATAATTCTATGATTCTGTAATTTAAATATAAATACAAAAATAGGATTAACATACCATGGCAGTGAAGTAATTTTTCTAGTATTTAAAACTGTGCCAAAAATACACAAGTTTACATAACAGTACAAAAACAAAATTAAAAAATATTTCAGATAAAAGGAAACCCAGACAAATTTTAATGTATTCTGAATGATTGTATAATGGATAGAGAAAAAGTGCAGAAACTGAAAAGTCTTAAGAGTTGAAATACAAAGTTTCAGGTAGAAACTTTGTTGAGAAACAGAAGATTGTTGTGGTGCACCAGTTTAGTTGTTCTCTTGCACTGGGTGATTGGGAATTTGCACAGAATAGTTTTGTATTGCACTGTATAGCTTATGTTATATCATGTGGTTTGTTACCCCGTTTCCCCATCACATGGTCTTTCCCTCACCTGTCCAGGTACCACCTGGTGGTCTCTCCCCTGGGTTATCCCTCCCCTCACTACTCCTCACTGGTGTCCCACTGGCTGTGGACCTCTCCCTCTGTCCCCATCCCGGGGGGTATAAAAGCTCCCTGCTGCCAGGGAACGCTCTCTTTTCTCCCATGGGTTTGTCCGCCTGATGTGTGTCTTGGAATAAAGGACAACGTTTCCCACATGGAGGAGAGCACTTATCAATCTTTTACCTTCGTCTATGAAGTGTCGTGTCGGCAAAGGTCTATAGCTAGGCGGAGTGGACCCCAACAGCCCAGGAAATACGTTCCTTCAGAAGATGACCTCTCTGTGGTCACATTATTAGGTTGTTTACCTGCACACATGCTCCCCGCTCCTTATTTCATCCATATTAGCAAGCAAAATATCAGCAACTTTAAATTAAAAGCTTCAGGGTGCTAACATTAATGTTATCCATTGGGTTTGCTTCAAAACCAAGAACCAGAATGTGCAACATTAACAGGGACTTCCTATCATGTTCAAGTAACACACAGTTAAAAAAAAATCGTAAGCAATGACTTTGAAACAAAAAACAAAACAAACTAACAACAACAAAAAAAAAAACAACAAAAAAAGAGAGAAAAATGAGTGCTTTCAGCTTCTGCATGCCCTGGTTTTAGCTTTTGCTTCACAGTGCTTGCACTACATCAAGGACTCTTCTGCTTCTCACCACAGCCCACCAGCGAGGAGGCTGGGGTGAAGACGAGGGGAGACACAACTGACCCCCTGCTGACCACACAGATATTCCATCCCATGTGCCCTCATGCTCAGCATATAAACCAGGGAGAAAGCTGCGTAGAAGCCACTGCTCAGGAACCGCCTGGGCATCCTGGGTGGTGAGCAACTGCATGGTGTGTCTCTTGTTTTATATATGCTAATTCTTTTATCATTGTTATTATATTCACATCCTTTTCTGCCCTAATAAAATATCTTTATCTCAACTCATGAATACTAGTTTTTCTGTCCCCAAGTCTCTTGCCTATCTCATTGGGAGGGTGGAGGAAGTGAGTGAGGGGCTGCAAGCTGTTTAGCTACCTGCCAGGTTAAACCACAACATTCCACTCAGGATAAAAGACCATTGAAATACACTACAGTAGAAGTTCATCATACTTTTGCTGGAATAAGTAAAAACTTTTCAAATAAGAGGCAAACGTGAAGCTTAGAAAGCCAGACATCTTTAAACAAAAAACAAAAGGCAAATTTCTGAAGAATTTAGGGAAAAAAGTGTCCAAGACAGTACTTCTTCAAATATCACGCAGTAATATTTGAGAGGATATGTAACAATTTAAAAATGTTGCATTTTTTGTCAACTACAAAGTCTAATCATCATTAAGCTGTGGTCCCCAGAAATCTGAAGTAACTGAAACTGAAGAAATTTATCCTTCTGGATTTTATACAACTATTTCATAGATATAAAGTCAGTTAGCCCATCAGTGAATAAACCTTACACAGCAATTGGAGGAAAAAACCAAAAGCAGTAATTAAAAAAACACAATTAAGTAAGTATTGGCAAGAGACAAAGGACAAGGATAGTACCTATATGTGCATTTAGTATACTTTTAAAGTAGATTAACTTTTCAATTTGCACTATTTTGGGGATCAGTCTAATATACTCAGTTCAAAAGAACCCACAGAACTTCAAACGGAGTCTTATTTTTATGTTTAAAAATATAAAAATATTTTAAGATGCATGTGTTCAATACTCAGCATGTACCTGTGTTTCGATACTCCTCAATCTGTACTACTGTTTTAAATAAGTATCTCTTTGTATGCAACAGAAAGAGTTAGCACACAAACCAGGAAGATGCAACTGAAGAGAGTAACAGGCTTAAAGTGACTGATACTGACCTCTGAAGCAGCAACTGTCGGAAGTTCCCACTTTGTGGACTAATGGTTAGGTGGTGAGATAGATAGTTACACAACCGTGCTCCCATGTATGAAAAATTTGGGACAGATGTGGCCTTCCAAAATAAAAACGTAAACATAAATTATTTATAAAAGTAATGATTACGCTATCAGAAAATATTTTAGAAGTTTTTTTGAAATCCATGCTTACTTAATGTTGATCAGACAACTCAAGAGCAGAAAATTAATGATTAATAATTACTATTTGCCGTGTTCACTTTTGTATTGCTTTAGCATGTTGATATATGCACTTCACCAAAACTTAAAAGTTCATTACACTGTGATTCTGTGGCTCTGAGAAAACAACCACCATTATGTCATGTGTCTTCCTGTAACTCTACTTCTGCACTGTGACATTAAACTGGAAAGTGTCTCAAAGTCAATTACAGACTGCTTATACAAAAAAAAGCAACCCTGGACATTAAGACACTTTTTCAAGAACACATACTTTCTCAAGGAACAATGAATACATAGAAACAACATCATAAAAATTATCTTCTTTTAGTCTATAAGCTATTTATTCCATAATGTCTTTTTGCCATGTTTAATACCCAAGGGAAGAGTGTAAGAACAAGGCAAGCAAAGAAAAATACTTTCTCCCATATATGCTCCAGCAATCTACAGAATTGCAAACTTCTGAACAGAGAGTAAGACTAGACCATTACAATTAACAGCTTTATTTTAAAACAAGTCCTGTTACTGCTGAACATCTACACTTATGTCATCTAAGAAAAGGTGATAGGAATGATATTGTGTAAAAATCTTCTGTTTTCATCTGATAATTCAAAATTTAAAGAGGTGGAAATTTATTTTGCTCACTCATTTTCAAGCTTCCTCTAACATCTGAGTTTCAGATTATTTCTCAGATGCAGTTTCAGTGAAAAGAGGTTCTGCTGCAAATAACTTCACCAGTTCTGCCCAAAAGAAAATGAGGATACTAAGAATTCAGTAAACTTCTCCTTTGGCTTTATAATCTTTGAATATCTTTTTTATATCTTGATCATCTATCAGTGCTACAGATATGTTTGTATGTTTGAGCTGTTCCAACATGTTTGAAAAAAAAAAAAAAAGTCTTGTTAATGCAGTTGTATCTAGCTACCTCTTACAGGTAGAGAAAAAGACATAATTCTACTATGAGAATAGAGTTGCTGGAAAAAAAAATGAAGTGTCTTTGGAAGACACAGCAAGTTTAAGTAATTAAGACAGACAAATGGAATTCAGTTTCCAGTAAGGGGCATGTGTACTACCAAAAAAAGACTTTGATGCTGTGGTTCAATTAGTTGCTCTGACTAGAAGAGGTACCCCTATTTTTAATACTTTTTCCTAACAAAAACAAACCCAACCCAACAAACCCAGCAAACAAAAACTTTAACACCCAAACACCTACACAAATTATTTAAACCTCATCTACATTATCTTCCTTATAAGTTGATCTGTACTTGTGGTTGCACCAAACACTGAAATAGGTATGATCTGGCATAGCGCACACAGACAAAAAAAAATAATTCCACCCTATATCTTCCTAATAACCAATCATTACATTGCAAAATCATATTCTTGGAACAATTATTACTGGTAGCTTTATCTCCAATTCAAAAAAGTCACAATTTGAGCATGAAGGCTAATCTACCAATACGTATCTTCAAAAACTGTAGTTGCTCTAACAGGAACAATCTACTGCATTAACTAGACAACAGTAAAGGTTCTTAAACCATGAATTCAGTGTCCAGCTTTTGGAAGACAAAAGAATTGGCACTTCATTTTCTGCAAACATAAATAAGAATACAATTACTACTTATAGGCAGGCTAAGATACTTTACACAGAGGTGATGGGAAGACCCTACAGGACTTGGGTTTACTTAATTTCAGTATATTTCCTTTACAAACCTAGCATCTGTAAATCTGCTTAGTTGGGTCAAATTTGCATCACTGAAGCAGATGCTTATAAGTTACAGCAATTTTAATTGTTTTGTGAAAAACCTGGAGACAAATGCTTGACCTTCTGTTCAAGACAGAAGAATAATAAGTATAGTTGGCTTTCCTTAGACACTATGCTAGCCTGACACACAGGGTATCTAAAATTAATGCTTCTGGATACTAGCATAGCTTTTTGTCATTAAGCTTTATTTTTAATGTAACCTTTTCATGTAAATTTTTCAGACTAACATTGAACTTCTGAGTTGAGGAAGCCACAGTAAACTCTAATGCTGAACTTGTTTTTAAAGGGGGACAGAGAGGAAGAGGCAACACTAAAGACTTCTATTAAATGCAAGTCAATGTGTTTAAAATAAATAGCATAAATTCTTCTTTTTTCCCTTCCAATAAACTATCCTCCATGGGTTCAAATAAAGAATGGGAAAATGAAGCTGCCAAATGCAGCACAGGTGATCGTCATGTCTAACGAAACTGGTCTCAGTCAAATTTGCATTAATTCTGTATAATAATGAGAAACTTGAGACTCTACAGTTCTGTGCAATGACCAACCAGTCATTCCACTGCTACATATAGCAGATTAAAATATTCTGTTAGTATCTTCACTTAAGTAAAAGTCTGCTTTTTTACTTTTATTTAAGGTAGAACTTGAAAGCAACAAACATATGAAAGACACCCAACACAATAAAGAGCAAGCCAGAAGCATGGCTTCCTTTTCTGCAGCGAGCCCAAAGACGGTAACAGCAGCTCATTTGCTAAGCAACACATATTAAGCTGTTCTTTCCAATGGCTCCCCCAATTAGTGTAGAGTTCAGCTCAAGGTCTCTGTCCTCATTTCCATGGCCATCAATGGGACTGGACCTTGCTACCCTTAGAGGAGCTTTTATTTTCTCCAATTATGCTGTTCTGAAATAGGTATATTTCAAACAAAGAAAAAAGACTGGCATTAAAGAGGTATTTCCCAAAGGATGGTGTGTACAGTAGGTATGAATTTAATTTTTTAAATAACTAGGAATTAGAAGTATCTTAGGACAAGGAAGACTTTTTTTTTTTTTTTGCACAAGAGAATAAAAGTGTACAATATTGCAAAAGTTTCTTCAATCTTTACTAACAAAAATTAAAATAAAACTTCCTTTAATTAAGTAGCATAATTTCAACTGTAGTGCATTACCCAGGAGATACAAACACACAACAAAGGAAACAGCAAACTGGGAAAATGTATAGAATTCAGGCATCCCAAATCTGAGCTACTATTTCAATTTACTAAGCAAAATCCTTCCCTATGTATTTCAGGCTAAAGGGAAAAATATCATTAAAATACTACATTGATACAATTATGTAACAAATACTGGAATGCCTGTCTTGGACACTGGGTAACAAAGGCATAATGACCATATTGTAATACATTACCTGCTGATAGATGAGTTCAACAAGTTCTTGTAAAGCTTCATCTGCAATAACCCAGCCGTTCAGTGCTGCAGCAAACTGTTCTATTTCCGTTTCAAAACAACCTGGTTGCTCCGTGAGGTGGTTTAGGAAGCCTTGTACATATTCTGCCAGGGTCAGATAGCTGTCACATCTATCTTCAAAGGAGGAATCCTGCAGAAGTGAAAGAATATGCCAACTACTTAAAAACAACCTTGAAGAACTCTTACACTTTCTGTCTCCAGAAATAACCATACAGCCCTTAGTTTTGGGTCTCTGTATACTTGACAGAGATCTTTTTTACACAGTTCACTTCAACATTTTTACAGAGCATAGACCCCCAACACCTCCTGGAGTGTAAACTTCAGAAGCCTCTTGCAGTCCAATCAGCTTAAGACCAGGTAAAGTATTTTTACAGACATTAGGGTCTTCCAGTAAAATACATTAAAAAATGCATTAAAAAGAACAAAGTTTCCCAAGCTGGTTGTAAGATTAACTAACAAACCAAGTAAGTTTATCTGTTAAGGGTAGAACTACCAAACTGAGACTCAACACCCATTCCTGGTGTAGACAATAACTGTACTGTGGATTTATGAATCGCAGGAGGAAAAAGAATGGAAAATTTGAAACAAAGTACTTTGACCTTAGATAGCGTGTATAGCGCTCCAAAAATATGCAGAAGGGAGAGTAATTAGAGAAATAAAATAAATACATAGTACCGTTCCCATGTAAGAAGTATAATCAGAAAAACTGCTATTTTAAAGTCAGATTATTTGTCTCTTGGCAAAAGATGAAAAATTACAAGGCATGAAATGAAACTACTCAAATTGAATTGCATTAATTTATAGCTACTGAGGTTTAAAACCAGACAAGACAGTAAACACAACTGCTCTCTAAACAGAGGAGGGGCTACCCAGTATCACTTTATTGATATTTATGCTTCCACCAATGAAACAGCTTTTGTCCATTCAGAAATTAATCTATGTGAGAGTATCTAAAGCCAATACTGTTCCAGATGACTATAATGCAGGTATATGAAGAGAATAGCAAAGAAAGCTGCATACTTTGTAATGTCACTAGTAGTAACACAGTGCAAGTAAATAATCTTGTCACACTACACAAAAGGTTGTGTAAATCATCTCACATATTTCAGAAATGCAAGAAGGAGCCTGAAGTGGTACTTCTAAAAAAAATGACTTACAATTCAAGACCTAAGAGTAAGGTAAGGAAAATCAGAATTCTCAACTGGTCTACAATTTAAAAATGCTTAAAGGGTATCTAGGGTAAAGCTGAGCTAAAATGATAAAGCATTTTTTCTTTACTTAGTGTACATAAATATATCGATAAGGATTATAAATATATTGTCCCCCTCCCCCTTCTACTCCCTCAGTACGGATTTTTCATTACTTTGTCTTCTAAATGCCTGTCTCTCCTCTACCGAGAAGCAACATGGATCTGTGAAAAATTTCTAGCTGGATATGAATTATGAGAAAGACAAGATACCCATTGTTGAAAATCGCATCCTGATATTAATTTCATGACTTGTGAAGAATGTGTGGGTAAAAAAAGCAGACTTTCCAAAATCATTCAGACATATCATAATTAGTGAGGTGGGACATACATCAGTGTAACAGAAGTAAAACATATTTAAGTAGAAGATATGCCAGCTAATAACACTAAAGACTGAACAACTTAATGTTGCCCACCAGAACTACCAAAAAAATATAGGTTTATGGAAATAAAGGCAATTATTACTATATAAAGCCTTTGACAACCTAAAGATTGGAGCACAGGCACTTCAGAGGTCCTTTCTAACCTAAAATTTTCTATGATTCTAATGGCTTGGAGCTTACAAATCCAAAAAGTAAAGGCTAAAAGGCCTGTGTATGACTTGCTACATACCCTGCTTCACTAAAGAAAAATCAACATTTATAAGGCAATTTCAAACAGCCCAGTAGGATTTCTGTACAATAAATTTAAAACTAGTTTCTTTCACAGAACTATTACATTACTGTGCAGCCACTGCAGCTTAATCACATACAGCTGAACTAGCATCTCTCCAAACAACCTGTCTGAAAACTCTCCAGCCAGGCTGCAGAGCATGCAATTGCTGTAGCTAGTAAAAGAAGCTGCTTCTTCTGACAGCCATCAGATTGTTACAAGATCCTCCTTCAGCAGAGAGGAAGGTATCTTCCTCTCACGCTCTCCTGGCAAGAATCCAGCCTTGGAGAACATCCTTGTGTTGCAAGGGATCCCAGTACCATTTGGTATACTGGTGTCCCTGTTGTATACTCTTATTTTCAGTTTGCAATTAAGAGCCTAAACACAGAGAATTAAACTCTATATCATATTCATCTATCTGTACTAAATAGCAACTTCAAAAGAAGTCTAGGTTTCAGTAACTACTCCAGGGAACTGAACAAATGGGAGAGAAAAATGAGTACTTTGGAAATTCAGAAATATACACGTTTATTAAAATTTGCAATTGATACTTTAAAAACTAACTAAATTCAGCCCAATAGCTTCTAGACATAAAGTACTTGCATGTCTCATTGTCAGATTTTAAAATTTAACATAAACGTAGAACCATGCAATGTATCAAGCCAAGGAAAACAAAGCAAATGGCTCTTGATTATTTTTCGAGGGGAGTTGGCTAACAGAAGCCTGTAAGACTACACATCACTACAAAGTTATAATTTAAAGCCACAAAAGTAAACTAGAAGTTTTCAGTTAATTTCAATAATTACTCCATCAACCCAGTGCTCCAATTTCTTTCTCTAAACTTTGATAGCTATAGGGTGGGATCCTGGATTATTCCAGCAAAAGAGTAACTGATGAAAAGATTATAGATTTGACTCTTTTTTATTATGCGTCAGTTCATGAGTTTACATACAGAAGAGTAGAAGGCTAAATAGGTACTAGAATTCCTGTGATATACATAAAGATAAAACAGAAACTCTATAGCAAAGATTCACAAGACAAATCTGCTCTTACTCAGTTTCTTTATATGTACTCATTGCTGTTTTTCGTTATCTAGTAAATTCACATTTCCACTTAAGAACTTAGTCACTAGTAACTTATCATTGATTTGATTTTTCTTCAGACTTCTTAGGAAAAAGATTTTCTTCCTTTTGTTAAATAAACTCATTAAGTTTCCAATAAAGTTACTGCAAACCCAAGCACAAAAAGACTGTTGCATATACAAAACCACCTATTCATGCTGAATGAGGTTAAGTGGCACTCTTATGCTTGGTCTTCTGATGGAAATGACTGAAGTTGAAAAAAGCAGGAGGGAAGGATTATGGAACCCTAAAATAACAAAAATCTCACTCCTAAAGCTACGAAGTAAGAACGTCATTATGCCCATCTGATGGAGTGACAGCCATATTATTATCATACACGCATTCCAAGGAACAAATCTGGTGTTTCCTACTGGCAATTCAAACCTATCTAGTCACTAGTTCTGCTACAGACATCTACAATTTCTATGGGTTGGACTCTGTATGCAAACAGAGAATTCCATGGAGACCTTTCTTCAAAGTCCTGGTAAAGTTTTTCTGAAAATTCTAGAAAACCTTGTCAGCTGTACTCCTTAAACTATCTTCACAGGTAATTGATAGTTTTGAGCATCAAAAACTGGAAAGACTGGAAATTAATTGACCTAACAGCAAATGTTACATGGACAGACACAGTAATTAAAATGGTGCATAATCAAACAAGAAATCAACACTATTTAAAAAATAATAAATGTTTTTTTGCTACTGCAAAATAACTGTGTATTTTATGAGGGAAATACAATATTTCAGATCTAAAATCTCAGGGATCTTTACAAATGGAAGCTATAAAGTAATAATTTTAAGTAAAAAAAGAAGTTTCTCAAAGCTCTGTTTTGATTCAAATTTTAAAACTCAGGGTCAAAATCAGTAAGAGTGCTAAAATCAGTAATGTGTGCAGTAACTGTAGAGTGTGCTAAATTTTTTATTTTTATGACAATTAAGCCCAGTTTATAAAATTCCTTCAGTTACTAAACTACAAAAATAACAGATTTTCTAATAGTGAAGAAGGAAAGAAAAATACCACTGCTTTATGTGTATTGTATTCTAATTAGATTAAAGACCTTGCAACATGTTTTGCTAATGTTTTCAGAGGTAGTTTTATTAATAGATGAGTCACATTGGTAGCATATTCCAACATAGCAACCAGGAACTCCCACATGCTTGTGTGTTTTTGCAAAACAGCTGAAAAGCAACATTGTTGTCATTGAAACTTCACAGTTTTAAGAGTGCACTATGAATGCTATTGGAAAGGTTGTTTGGGTTTTATCTCTGACTAGAAACTGAAACTCTTTATTTATAGAGAAAACATGTAACCAGTGCTGGGGCAAAGAAGCTATTTTTTCTCCCAGATTATCAATCCACCAAAACATGTTCACATTGGCATTGTTAACAGTTGTATATTGGCTGCGGCGTTTATTATACAGGACAGTAATTACATTCAGTAAACAGGCAAAGCTGGTAACACTAAGGTAACATCAATTTTACTGGGGAGGAAAAGATTTCAAAATACCAAATCACCATATTCAGCATTCAAATGAAATATTTTTCTACCAGTTATCAAAAATAAATTTGATTCAGCATCGCCCTTTTTTTTTTTTATCATTGATTGTATTTGTAAAAGTTCCCACCTGTTTAGATATAGTACCAGAGTCTGACTGTTTGTGTAACAAAAGGATATGCCAAGAATTCACAGAGATCTTCTCTGGAGTAGAATTACTGAAGCAGTAACATGGAAGACAATGGAGTAGAAAACAGAAGTACCAGCTGTTATTACATGATGCATCTACAAACTGATCTGAGTCTGGCTGGAAATACATTTCTTACTAGGTGTGTTGGTAGGTAACTGGTAGGAATGAGTTTAACACTCTTTTTGCCCTTTGGTGATACAACACCACTGATGACACAGGATGGTAGAGCAGCTTAGGCAGTCACGACGAATGGTACCTGTGGCACAGGAAATTCAGGAAAGGCAAAGCCTGTGCTCAGAAAAGCTAAAGTTCAAGCTTTCTCTCCCAGTGAATTCTGCATAAAAGTGAAGTTACGCTTTCATTTAAAATGCAGTATAGATATAACTACAACACAGGTAGTCACCAAAAAAACCAGCTTACTCTCATGTTGAATGCAATCAACGCCTGGTGTAGTCAAAAAGGAATATGGTTATGCACAGCAAGCTTTGGCAAAATATCCAGCATATGTAAATCATAATAGTCATTCGTTATCAATTAACATCCTGGCTGGATCTCTGGAGATTATAATCAGAATTTTTGCAATCCCTTCAGCAAATACAGAATTCAAATTATTTGACATAAAAGATTTCAAGAAAATGTTATAAATTTGAATACAAGTAAATTGGCACATACTAAAGAATGAAGTTAAAACACTCACTGTGAAATTCTGATTGAAGTTCTGGTTGTACCCTGATGGATAAAATTCAGGTGCTATAGCAGACAAGTTTGATGTTGCTACAGGATCCACAGCTAACTGAGGTTCAGCCATTTCTGGTCCAGAATCAAGAACTGAAACTTTATCTTGTGATCCAGATGAAATTCCCGTCTCTTGCAGGTGTTCTGAAAAATTTTTGTTAACAGCTTGTCTTAGAAATCACTAAATTGGTATGTATTCACACAGAGTAAACACAGAATATGCATGTTTGGGTTTTTTACTTAAAGTATGGTTTTACCATAAATATACTTCCTTTAAATACACAGGCTCACTTTAAATACATAGGTTTTATTGTTTATTCTTAGATATGGATGTTCATTTAAGCACACTCCACATGTCTTTGTACATGATAGAAAGTAAACAGTGCTCTTGTGCAGGTGAACAAAAAAATAAAGGGAGATGGGAAAAAACCACATTGTCTAAGAGTTAACCTAAGCAACTAGTAAATCTGCTTATATTACATTTGATTATCCTGTAATTTTTCACAGATTTTAGATACAAATACAAGATACATTTGGAAGGTCAATAAATGACAGACATTACTGATTTTGACTAACACTTATTTTCAACAAAATGCTCAGGGAGACTTGGCTATTGTTGTTCTTATATACCATTTGCCAAAACATGCAATTGAAGCATTTTTAAAACACTATTTTCCAAACCTCTATTTACAGACTAGCTCATAAGTTTATTGAAAACAGAACCTGATACCTACCTGAAAAAGCTGACCAACAAACATTGCTTTGTATTACTGTTGGGTTTATTTTTTTTTTTTTTGCAAATAGGTTGGAATTCTTCAGTAGGGGGAAGGCTGAGACCATCTGCAGTCAGATTAACAGATGGATAAAAACCACACTCAGGTGTCGGGGTACAAAAGGGGGGAAAGGACAGAGAGTATTGCAAGCAGCTGCAATACATCATTACACCTTTACCTGGTTCAGGTCCATCACCACACATGAAGGGGTGAAAAAAATAGACAAGTACATATGAAACATTATTTAAAAAATTACAGTAGTGCCATACTGTACTTAAAACCAGCATGCTGGTTTCAACTGGGATTGAGTTAATTTTCTTGTTGCTAGCTAGTACAGCACTGTGTTTTGGATTCAGTATGAGGCAAATGTCAGTAGCATGGGTCTTCCATGTTCTGATGGTGAACAGATGCACAAGAAGCAGGGAGGCAGCAAAGACTGGACAGCTGACCCGAACCGGCCAAAGGGATAATCCACACCACAGAATGTGACGTTCAGTATATAAACTGGGGTGGAGTTGGCCATGAGTTGTCAATTGTTGCTGAGGGACAGGCTGGGCATCGGTCAGCAGGTGGTGAGCTGACTTCGCCGCGCATTAGATGATTCTCCTGGGTTTTCTTCCTCTTACCCCTCCCTCGTCACCCAGGTGTCCGCCGGCCCCCAGGGCTCAGCACGCTGACCCGGCCTCAGCGCGGTGCACGCATGGCGCACCCGGGAACAGGACCACGCACCCGAGGGCAGGGGCCGGTGCCCCCGCGGCGGGCGGGGAGCTGCGCAGGTGCCCCGCGAAAAGAAAGAGCGAGGAGAGCAGCCCGTACCTGCCATCCCGGTGCCCAGGGGCGCCGTCTTCGGAGGCCGCAATGGTTCCTGCTGCGGGAAGAGGCCGCCCGGCTGGTGCTGCTGCTCCTCGGCCGAGCCCGAGCCGCGGGACGCGCAGCCCGCGGGGCGGTCCCCGCCGCCGCTCTCCGGCGCGCCGCACCCGCGGCCCCGGCCGGCACCCGGCGCTCGGTCGAAACTCTCCGACATGCTGAGGCCGGGCGGCTCGGGCGCTCATGGGAGGGAGGAGCGGAGCGGAGCGGGGCGGGCGGGCCTCGGGGGGCGGGCGGAGCGCGGGCCCGCCCCGGCCCCGCACTTTCGGTTTCACCCCCGCGCAGCGTCGCGATGGCCGCGCCCGCCCCGAGCCCGCTGCAGCCTGGAAACGGCGTTTCCAAAGGCACCGTATTCCCTGCGACTGCATCTCCACGGTAACCAGTAGGGCGAGGTGACCGTGGCAGGGCCAAGGCTTCAGCTACAAGAGGAGACCTGCAGCCACAGGTGCATCAAGCCACGCTGTGCATACACAGCTGTTTACACCAGAGAGGGATGGAAAAGCTACAGGCGAAATTCTAAATTTAACCCCATAAATTTGAGGCTCCATCGTGACCATATTATTGTACGGCTAGGGCTACTTCATAAAACTATGTTTGTTCAGAAAAATATATTTTCATGCATAATTTACGCATGATGTGGTAACAAATGCTCTTCTGATTTAATGTTGAACAACCACCTTCCACACCAGCAGGAACCAACTGAAGAACATGGTCCGTGTAATGCATTTTTCCTAATATTATCACATAAACTGAGAATGGTTCAACTCACATGTCCATTTACAATTTAATTAATCTACTCTTCAATTTCAGTCCAAAGTCTTGCTCTCATTGTTTTGCAAACTCTGTATCACAATCAGCTTTCAAGATGAGGAGGGCAAGTGTAACCTGGTGTGTCACAAATACCTCCTCAACTAATGCTGCTGTGGGAGTTTATATTTTGTCTCCCTGCACAGTCTGGTCTGTGCCATCCTTGTCACTTGTTCCTGCCACAAAAAAAAAAAATCAAAAGATTGTGTGGCATTGGGTGCCGCTCTGTTCACCACTCACGAAGGGGTGAAAAAAATAGACAGGTATGTATGAAACATTATTAAAAAATTACAATAATGTTGTCTTGTATTTTAAAATTGGATTGTAAAATGGTGCCTTTAGAAGTCAGGTACCTATTGGGTTTATTATTACATGTTACCATTTTCAATTATTAACAGGGGAGGGGCAGGGTATAAAATATTAGCTCCCCAAGGCATGAATTGGACTGATTTTTGGCAAGATAAAAAGGTGGCCAGACATTAAAGGTGTCACAACTTAAAATTAATGAGGCTCATGGGGAAACTGTTCCTAGGCAACCCTTCTGGAAATATAGAATGGTAAACTAATAAATCTATATTCTGCAACTGGAAAGTGAGCTGATGCAGGATGTTTTGAATGAGTCTTAAAAAAACCATTATAATATTTCACTTGTGTAAACCATTCTCAAAACTAATTCAAGCAGCATTACCAATTCTTTAAAGATCACAAATTAGCTATTAAATTTCTCCATTAAAAATATTCAGTGTTCTTGTGTTATCAGCTCCAGTTTTAATGCCTATATTGTGACCTCTGTCAACATCTGTAAACTTTGCCTTACCAGGAGGAGAATGAAAAGCTTACATTAATGTGAAGAAAAATGAAATTCTCCATCGTTATATACTAATGGAGAATATGCCAATTTTGAATATGCCAATCTTTCGAGTTAGCAAATCTCATTCTTTAAAGTTTACGCCTAAGAGGAAATGAGTGCCTTAAGTTATTGAGCAAGACAAGTTTTCACTTTTGGACGTAAATGTGAATTCTTTTCACTTAGCAGACATTTTATGTTATATTAATTTAATAACCGTTTGGCAACTACTTACCATTTAAGGTGGAATGTGATCCCAAATCCATATTTTTCTTACAGATGCACTACTTAAGTTTGCATGAACACAGCTGAGTTTAGCTAGGAGCCCAATTTCCTCTCCCTAGTGTAGACACCTAAAACAAAATTAAGAAAAATAATCAGGTAGTTAATTCCAAAATAACAAGCCCCAAATACTGCCTACAACAATACACCCCTTCAGACTGCTTGACATTATGCTTAGATGGTTTTGGCCTGAGTAGCTGAAGTCCTGTGAATTACTTCAGGCCTCTGAGGCCACACAGCAGAACCCCTGAGATCGCTAAACTAGACAGACCTAACCTAAGCCCCCAATGACTGGATCAAAACTTTCACCAAATACAATTATGAACACTTCTAGGCAGCCGCTAGGAGATACCTGCTTTGTCCTAAGTGTCTTACTTAATAACCTAAAACTTAGCTCAGAACCAAATCCACACACACACCTTCAGTGCCTGGTGCCAAGAAGTCACACACCATAATATTTTCACCATTCAGAACACAGGCATTTTTACATGAACTATATATTTTTTTAATGCTGATAAGATATTTTTTAATTGGAAAAAAACAAGAGGAGAGAGCTGGTTCTAGCTTTCGAAATGTAATTTATTGTTAATAGCTGGAATTATTCCAATCCCTACCACACTGATGAGGCATGTTGTTGTAGGAGTCAATGGTTATTGAGCCCAAAACATAAACCACAGGCAAAATCTATAGCTCTAAAGCTCTACAGATTTCACACAAGCTTATTTAAGCACAGTAATGAATATTTAGTAGTAGAGAATCCTCTTAATTATTTTCAGGGTAACTCTCATGTTTTCAGTGCTTAACTTTACTTGCTAAGTCACCACTTACAAGTCTGGAAGCTGTGTCATCTCCAGCAACATGTAGTTTGCATGAGCAGCTACACAGACTTCAGTAAATTAAAAAAAACAAACAACCAAAACAAAAAAAAAACCCAAAAAAACAAACCCAAAATACGCCTCATACATGGAACCCACAGATCGTGTGAAGTAAGACAACATATGCAGGACGGTGTGAAGACAATGTACGGAGGCAATAAGCAGCGTGGCCGGCTGTCCTCTGGAACTGCCTCTCCAACCCCATGTGCTCTTCATCCAGCCATGTATTATTTCAACAGCTACAGAATCACAGGAGCACAGAATCGATTAAGTTGGAAAAGACCGCTGAGATCATCGAGTCCAGCGTATGGCCGAACATCAGCACGACAATCAGACCACGGCACTGAGTGCCACGTCCAACCTTTCCTTAAACACCCCCAGGGACGGCGACTGCACCACCTCCCCGGGCAGCTCATCCCAATACCAAATCACCTTTTCTGTGAAGAAATTCCTGCCAATGTCCAAAGTTGACACAGCTCCCCATCTTCTGTGCCCGTACTGCGCCTACCACTCCGACATCTCGCTGCTTTATCACGCATTTTAAGAAGTAACAATAAGGAAGAGGACACTACTTACGTGCTATGGCGTTAGCCCCACGTCCAACACGCGCGTTTCAGCACGTCTCCTCGCCAGCCCCGACCTTCGCCTCCCCGCCGTGGCCAGCCACGGGTGGCTGGACGCGTCTGTCCCGCTCTCCCGCTGCCGGCGCCGCGGGCTCGCCCAGCCCCGCGCCGCCGCCCCTCAGACGCCGCGTGACGCGGCCGCCCGACCCCCGCGTGCCCCTCAGTCCTTCCGGGTTGGCGGGCACGGGCCCGCCCCCGCCCCGCCCCAAGGTCGGTCGGAGCCGCGGCGGCGGCACCGCGGGCGGGAGCGAGGCGTCGAGCGGGGCTGCGGCGGTGCGTGTGCGCGGCTGTGTGCTGAGCTCTCTGTGGAGGCCCGCGGAGCGCGGCTTGCGGGTTCGGTGCGGGCTCGGTGGGGGCTCCGTGCGGGGCTGCGGGAGGAGCGTGTGCGGGGCTGCGGGAGGAGCATGTGCGGGGCTCTGCGCGGGGCGTGTGCGCCGCGTCGTGAGGGGCTCTGCCGGCGCCGCCTCATTCTCCCGGTGCATGTGGGGGGCAGCCGCTGGCAGAAGACAGCGGTGCCACGCTGTCGGGGGAGGGAGGAAGGGAGGGAGCTTGCCGGGACGGACGTGCGGGCGGAGGCAGGTGTCCCGGGAAGGGGCCCGCGGGAACGGGGAGCGGGGAGGTGGCGGTTGCGGGGTGTCCCCCGAGCGGGGACAGTGCATGGCGGGGAACGAGCCGCCCGTCCAAGGTCATTCGGTGGCCGCGGGCTATAAATAGCGACGGGAGAGAAAAGGGGCCGCTGCCGCGGGGGCCCGGCGGGATTCCGGGCGAAGAGCACATTCCCGGCTCCCCTGGCCGGGGTGTCCCGCCCCGAGTGCGTGCTCTGCTGCGCCTCCCGGGCGCCTGCAAGCTGTGTCCCACCCAGGGTGACTCCTGAGGGAACTGTGGCACGGATTGGAGTCGTTTGTTTGGTGCTTTGGGGCGCCGCGGTTTTCCCGTACCACAGTTCCCGTTTTAAAGAAACGGTGTAAAGAGAAAATGGCCTTGACTCACAGAAATGCGATCCCTAGGTTGGCTAGTCACGCGAGTTGCTTTGTTTAAGAGCTGTCTTACTTAATTTGGAAAAAAAAAAAGGTGGTTTTTTTTTTCCTAGCTTGAAAGATAAAGGTGGTGAGGAATGATTGTCTCGTGGCTACTGGCAGTCGACTGGTTCTAAACCTGCTGCGTTTACATGCCTTCTGTACAGTATCATTAATAACTCGTGATTTGTTTTCACATTTGCTGTAGGGGTTCCATACGTGGCAAGGAATTTGTTGTGAGGTCTGAGTGCAATGGCGAGCCTTCTGCGTGTTGCTGTGGGTGGATGCTCAGCTCCTGTTTTTGGCAATGTGTTCCCGCCGAAGGCGTGTTCCGCAAAAGTGCTGTGCTTGCGAATGTTTAGAACCCACCAGGTGCTTGGGTCTCAGGCAGCTCCAAAGCCAGGTAAATTGATTAAAGTACTGTAAGCAATGTTTTATTTAAAACATGAATTTAAATGATTTCTTTTTTTTTTCTTTCTTTCAGATCTGCATTAGTACAGAAAAGACTTAAAATAGAAAGAACGCTCTTAAATCATGTCAGCAGCGTACTTGAGTCAGTTGCAGCACAATTTTAGACTGGCTTTATAGGGCTTACACAGAAGGTGTTTGTGTTTATTATGAATACTTTGGGTCCACATAGTTTTTGTTTTTAGAGAGTTTGAGCTGCTGGTAATACTTTCCTTGCTTGAAGGAAATATTTACATAAATGCTTTTCTTAGTTCACGTCCCGAGTTCCCCATTAGTTTTGGTAATGCAGCTCTTTCCATGCATGTGAGAGAAAATACAGACCTCACAAAGACAGCATCTGCTAGCATAAGTATATATAGACATTATTATCCCATCCTGAAAAAAATCTCTTAACTTTGTTTAAGAAACACTTACATTGTATCACTTCAAAAAACTATTGGTCTGTATCTTCACGAGTAGGGTTTGTTAGTGTATTTGTACAAATTGCATTTCAGCAGATAATGGGAAAGTTCAGGTATTTCAGGGAAAAAAAAAAAAACCAAACTGGGAAAGGGGGCACCCTTGTTTCCAGTTTCTAACATGAGCCTGGTACATGAAGATCAGAACTGACAATTTTTTTCTCTATTCTATACTGTATATAACCTGACAGTTGGAAGGAAGACTGAAGAATACCTAATGCAGGTTTAATGCTATTTTTGCCCATTGTTACTGCATGGGTCATGTGTCCCTTGGAATTTAGAGACCCTGCTTCTGTGCAGATGTAGGATCTTAGTCTGCAAAAGATTAATGTGGAGAGTTGGACTGATTGCACACATGACATTTGATTCTTCCGAATGCAGACAGTAGGTAACTGCATTAGGTACTCGAGAGTATAAGGAAAGTAGTGCTGTTGGAAACAAAGACACAAAAGTAGCATGTAGTAGTTCAGAGAAGCCTGTGTTGTGTAGAATTTGTGGCAGTATTAACAATAAATGGTGCATTTTGTGGTCCTTTCAACTTGGTGACTGAAGATTTTGGGACTTCCGAAGAAATGTCATGAGGGGAAGTTTCTTTGCTCTGAGGGCTCCTGATAAATCTGTATTACAGTTGCATGCTGAAACCAGAATTTCTTTGATAGATTTGAGATTCTCTCAATTTTTTTCCCATGTTAAATGTCTGAATGAAAGAGACATCTGTCAGTCTTCATATGGCAGATTGTCCCTTGGTTGGGAACATAAACTGGAACATAGGAAACTAGGTTCAAAGTTCTTTCTGAAATATCCCAGGTAAGTGTCCTTGTTTGAGTTTGGAATCAATTTTGTATTTGGCTTTGACCACAAATTTCATCATGAAACTAAAGAATCTCTTCTGTTTTACTGAAATTGTTATGCTACTCTGTGAATTTTCTCATTTTTAAGGATAACTTTTGAAAAATTTTCTCACAAGGATGGAGAATTCTGATTAGTGTCATGTGTTTAAATGCTCAGTGCTGCCCTGTCAGATCTGTTGTGTGGAAGCCTTTATTTAAGGATTAGTAGTATTCATGAAATGCAGTTATTTAATGTGGAGAATTACAAGTTTGGTAGTCTTTTGGTTGATAATTAAGCTGTCCTTGTAGTATGCTTTGGTAACATGTGATTTGTCATTCAGCAGAGGACAAATCAAGGAGAAAACAGCCGTTTAATGACAAATTAGAAGCAGGGCTATTGCTTATATTTACTTTTTAAGTGCTCTTGAATCAAAATGTAACAGATTCAAAATAACTGTGTTTTAGTCTTCCAGACATTAGCTTCGATTTTTGTAACACTTGGTAAAATCACTGTATTACTAAGAAGAGTAAGTTTTCTGAAAATACTAGTGTCACAGTGAATCTTCTTAAGGCTGTAGTTATTACTTTCCTTGTCTTAGGTTAGCTTTCATTCCACTCAGGCTGTGTTATGTACAAGAGCAGTAGCTGCGTGGGGAGAAGAAATATGGAGATACAAAGTCAACTGAAAAGTGAACTTGGAGCATGGATAATTTTTTACTGCCAGCTATTATGCAGCCACTTGCTTAATAGAAACATAGGAACTTTCATACAGGTGTAAACAGTTATTCCCATAATCTGTGCCAGGTAGTCATTAGGACCAGTTACTTCAGAAATGGACACAAAACTTTCTGAGTCCCTGGGAAAAGTGCATATGGAGTGACTGACTGAGCTTCCAGTATACTTCCAGATTAGTTTGTCCTACAGCTCTGTGACTTTTACCCCTCTCTATTTTGGAATTTTAAATATCCTTTTTATTTTGAGGCTTACTTCTTAAAATTTCATGTTTTTTCTAAATCTGTAACAGTTAATTTTTGGTTAGTGCTCTAGGTAAGCTTTATTTTATTTATAAACCAGAAATATTTTCCTTTAATTTCCATTTTTAAAAAAATTTCCTTATTTATGTAATAGGAGGGATCAGGTGTTCGTTTAATCTTCTGTACCATTTTTTTTCTTTTTTCCAACATCATATTGCTGTTCTTCGGAATATGTCCTCATCTTCAGCACAGGTGAGATGGTTTGTTTAAAGGTTATTAGAGTAACATAAAAAATAGGCATTCTGTTTTCAATCCCAGAGCACATGGCATATAGTCAAAACTTCTCCTTTATCTTTTCCTTAAGTCACTTTCTATTGGTTGAAACTGTTTTGTTGGAGACTACTTCCCAAAGTCAGGTTAAGGAGATCAAAAAACTGTATTTTCTGCTGTAGTTTGACTTATAATCTTCTCTAAGATTCTTGTGGATAGAAGTTACATGGAGAAAGTCACAGTAATAGTTTTGTTTACTTGAAGTTTGACTATGTCTTCTTTACACGGTTAGGATTGTGGTAAGGGAATGAGAGAGTGGCTTCTTACTAGTTTTTTGAAGTTCTAAGTTATGTATATGCCAGAGCATTTCACTGGAATGTATATACCATTCCAAGACCTGTGAAATTTAGTGATTCTACTTCTGATAGTGGCAGAATCTAAGTACTGTGTATCTTCTACTCAATATACTAAAAAATTTTGTGAGTCAAAAAGGTGCTCCAGGTATGTAATATCACTCAGTATTTGGAAGATGTCCATGATGTCGTAAAGCAGTAAGTCACTAAAACATACTCAAGGCAGTACTTAAAGAGATTATCTGACATGAAAGATTAGAGAGACAATTTGTAGGCTTCACACTCTCATGTGACTTTAAACCCCTGGCAGGGATAGCAGATGAGTTTCCTCAGAATAAAGCCTAAATCAAGGTCCTAAGTTTATAATCCTAGGTTTCAACCTTTCAAAACTATTGACTTTGATGAAATTGCTGAATCCAACAAACCAAATCTGTGTTAATCACAAAGCTTCCTCCAGCTAGAGTATTGATCATACCCTGTTGTGTGTGTCAGCACAAACAGGCAGGTGGGACAGCCACAAAGTCATGTCTAGAATCCAAAGGGTAAATTTATTTCCATTACTTCGCTAACAGGGTATTGCTGAAGCAGCACCCGGGCAGAGGAAAACAAGTGGAGACACAGGCACCAGTAAATCATCACAGACCTGCTGTTCACATAGGCTTATCAAGAGTTATTTCCAGCTGAAAGGCAGCTTTGCAATCTTCCCTGCCAGTGTTCCACTTTTTAACCCTTTCTTCCCAAGACCTGTACTGCAGTTTTAAGACAGATCTTTGGTTTTGAGCTGTAGATATCTGCTCCTTTGGTGCTGAATCATGTGGAAGCTCAGGGCAGTCTACTTGAAAAGTGTCCTGTACCTACTCTAGCTAAAAGCTGGCAAGCTGACAGGTTGCTTAGGTATTCATTTCCTTTTGTATTTATGGATTGCTGGAGTTCTGGTGGTGGGGTAGAGAAGAAAAGTAGATGAGGCAAATGGGACTTGTTGAATATTTATCTTGGATTTGGTCTCCTAAAGCTCTGGAGAAGAGCATGTTCCTCAGTGTTGGTCTGTGATCATTCTGTTTACTAAATAAGGTGTAAATACTTTCTATCTGAAAAAGTTGTACTAATTTTTATTGCATGCAAGGTGTACCAATAAAGAAAGAAGTGAGGAATGAGGAAACACATCTGGCATCTAGTAAATGTATATTCCTGTCCTTTTACTCCTAGCCATTTTCTCTTCTATTCTGATACTCCACACAGAAGCAAATAAGCAAAAGAAAATTGGAAGTATCTATTGTCATTTGAGCCTTAGGAGCTAAAATATTTGCTTGAGAAAAATAAAAGCTTTAGTCAAATGTATTTGTACCTTTAAATTTGCAATTATCTATTTCCTTTATGCTACAATTTATTCCTTCCCTGTTTGCTCCTCCTTTCCCCTCCCTTTTTTCCTTCTCCTTTTCACCTTGTTTTTCCCTTTCCCTATTTTCCCCCATATTTTCCCCCTCCTTCCTTCCCTTTGGCATTCTTGTGCTACAAAAACTTCCAAAAGGAGAAAGGGAAGGTAGGACTCTAGTTCTTAACTTTTTTCAGTGCTTTTTGAAAAGTGTTTTGTATCCTATCCTGCCCTAGAGCTACTTCCTCTGAAATTCTGATTGGTCTCTGTTATCCTAACAAATTTCAATCTTCTAGGTTTCATTCCTGCTTCTAAAAGACAAGAGAGCTCATTTCTACCGAGTTGATTTAGTGAAAATCAGAAGCAGGACTTTTTTGTGTAGTAATTAGAAGAGATGAGGAGAAAGTCTCTTCAAATGACATGGGTAATTTGAGTGACAGCAACAGTTACCACAGCTGGTAACAAGTGGTTAGTGCTGCTGTGGTGGGTATGGCCTGAGTTGCACGGTGATATTTAGATTTGGTGTATGCTGGTGGAACAAATCATTGCAAAGCTCTGTTACCTTTGTGGATCTGTTGTCTTAGATGTGCATTCTTGCTCCTGTTTTGGCTTTATGTTCTATGAATGTATGTTTTTCTGAATTTGAGTGTTGTCTTGTGATTAAAATATTTCAAATGTTCTCCAACATATAAAACATGAAAACACTTCTATCTTCAAATTATTTGTTACTATTAGTCAAATTTTAAAGGCAAAGCTAAAAAAAATGTGTAAGTAATTACAATCATAGAATCATTAAGGCTGGAGAAGACCTCTAAGATCAAGTCCAACCTTTGACTGAATACCCCCTTGTCAATTAAGCCATAGCACTAAGTGCCACTTCCAGTCGTTTCTTGAGCACTTCCAGGGCTGATGGCTTGACCACTTTCCTTTAGCACCCCATTCCAGTGCTTAACCATCCTTTCAGGAAGGTTATGCACTGGAAGAAGTTCTTCCTGGTAAGAAGTTCTTCCTGGTGTCCAACCTGAACTTCCTGTGGTTCAGTAAAGCCCCCCCTGCAGCAATTAGAAGTAATGAACTTTGTCTGGTGAGCTTTCATTCTGTCTTGTTGGATGTGTTAATTTTTTTTTTTCAATGTGTTAGTAGGCTGAGAAGTATAAGTAGGTATTTAAGTGCCAGTTCTTAGCAACTCTGTACTGTTTTTTCAGAACATAGTAAGTTCACAGTAGCTTGAAAATTTCTAACCAAAACTAATTTCAGATCGTCAACTTTAGGCACGTTGTAATCCAGGTTCAATTTCACAGATAATTTATTTTGATATTTTAAATCTAAATCTAGTTCCTCAAAGCTCTTATATTGTAGTATGTTTTTAGCTTTTTTTTTGCTTGTTTCTATCTCAAAGTCAAAAAGGAGGCTTTCCTGAAATTTGCGTTCTTTGCCTGGTACAATTTTTTGTACCACAATACATAGTATTGTTGGACAATTTAAAAAGAGATTTGTAATTTTAAACAAGCCTCTCATTCACTTTCTCCCCTTTTTAACATTTGGGGTTTCTTTGGTGGGTTTTGTTGTTGTTGTTGCTTGATCATTAATATGAGTGACTGCTTAGACTGCTCAAATTATAGTTTATTAATATTCATGTGGTGTAAATGTCTTGCGTAGTAATGTCACAATCCAGGTTTAAATTCTGGATAGATGTCAGTGAAAGCTGGTACAGGATTCAGCCTATGTGTTGGATTGCATGCTGTCAGTGTAATTGAAGCAATGTAATAGTTTTATATATGATTATTCTGCTTGAGCCTGTGTATTCATAAATAATGTATTTAAACACTTGTTTGGATCAGACAAGTTTATCTCCCAGATATGAGACTGAAAGCCACTCAAATGAAGTTAGAAAGCTGCCACATTGTACTTAAATGAAGTTATTTTGTAATTTGAAAACTAACTAAAATCTAAATTTCAACTTCAGCAGTCTCCTGGTGTTACTTAGCGGAGCTTTGAACAAATTAAGACAAGGAAATAACTTTGAAGAAAAGTACTTTGAAGAAACTAATAGCTGGATATTCCTTTGTTCTTCAACTACTTCTGAATTCACGTTTTTCATTTCTGTGGCAACTTTTAGAATACCTTATTGATGTAGTTATGCCTTTCAGTGTACTTTGTGGTGCGTATGTTGCATTCAATGATAGTGATTTGGCATAATTTGATATGCATTACAAACATATTCAGTTAAAATGCAGTTCCACTGTTCAAGCTCATTTATTTCTTTCTTCACAATAACCTGGAAGTGACTAGAAAATAATTTAAATTCTGGCCTGAAGCAGAACATGTTATCACCAATGCACCATGTATTATGTAAATCAGAGTGCCAGTTAAACAATTAGAACAGTGTAAACAACGAGTATGAACTGCACCAAACACTTGTTATTGCTTGTGTGGCTGATTGTGCTCACCTGCTGTTCGCTGAGAGAACAAGGATCTCTAGGAAGATATTGTAATTTAAGGAAATGTAAACAATGTTCCTAGAAAATAGCATTCTGCTTCCTCCTCCCTTAGGAGGGAGAATTGCTAACTGTGACATGTGTCTGCATGTGTCTGTACAACATTGAAGAGTGTCCATTATACCCGTTAATTAATGTTTAGTACAACTAATGCTGTCTTATCTGCCACTTTTACAGGAATTCCGTATAAACAACTGACTGTGGGTGTCCCCAAGGAGATATTTGAGAATGAGAGGAGAGTGGCTCTGTCACCGGCTGGAGTTCAAGCCTTGGTTAAGCAAGGCTTCAATGTTGTGGTGGAATCTGGTGCTGGAGAAGCTTCTAAATTTTCTGATGACCATTACAGAGAAGTTGGAGCAAAGATCCAGGGGACCAAGGAAGTCCTGGCTTCTGATTTGATTGTGAAAGTAATTGCTTTATTAGTATATTTCCTGTTACATTGTTTTTGGAGAAATGTATAGGTAATTTTTTTTCTGATAATCTGTGGAAAGTTCATTAAGGTCCTTTAAATTAGTGTTTTCCATTTTGAGTTCTGATTCAAGTTCTGGTTTGTTGTTTTTTTGGGGGGTTTTTGATAGCTCAGGCATACACCTACACTAAAAAAAAAGTAAATGACAATGTTGAAAAAAATATGGATATCTCTAGCAAGTATTTAACTACCTAAGAGTTGTTGTGTTTTCTAGAGTGCGGTAGACTAGTTCTGGAATCTAATCAGATGAGATCCCTGCTCTAAGAAATCATTTATACGAAATTGGTAATATGTAACTCTAGTTATTCTTTAAATAGCATGGTTTGGGTTTAGAAAATGTGATTGTGTAACTTCTCTGAATTCCGCAGCAAAAGTATGTTTAAAAAATCGAGAAAAGAGCAAAAAGCAGTCTTACTTGAGAGGTCTTAGGTTGTGCAGAGTCCTGAAGGGCAAAAAAAAAGAAAAAGGCCTTTACCTTATTGAGGCTTCCTTCAGTTGCTCTGTTTAGAATTATCCCATCAGCACTGAACATAGAATTTCTGTGAGCTGCTTTGTGAACAATGCTTTTAAGGAGGTTTCTGTTTGGAGAAAAGTGAGAAACTCGGAAGTGAATATAGATGAAGATCAGTGTCTGCTGGACATCTGAAATGCCCTGTATGTAGTCATGCACTGCAACCTTATAATAATGATTCTTAGTTTGTAGAGCTTAGTTGTCATATCTGTTGAGTAATCATTTTGCTTAAAAATGGTGGATTTTGTAGCTGTCTGTTACAAAAGCAAGTGACTGCCAGTTAGAAGTCATCAGATTTTTGTGAAGGTGTGTGCTGACAATTTTTGCCCTGTCACCAATCCACCTAGAGCCAATTCCATGATGTGGACTGCAGCTGAGAAGTGCGGTTACTCAGTTCAGTTGTGTAAATAGCCTTTAATATACTTTCTGTACTTTTTGGATGGGAATGGACAGACTGCAACCTGAGAGAAAGTAAGTGGAATGTGTTCTGATTTCTTTCCTCTGATTAACTTGGAAACTTCTGTCTTTTTTCAGGTGAGAGCTCCTATATATAACTCATCTCTAGGTGTACATGAGGCAGATCTTTTCAAGCCAGCAGCGACCCTGATTAGTTTTATCTACCCAGCACAAAATCCAGACCTGCTGAAAAAACTTGCGGAAAAAAAAGCTACTGTCTTGGCTATGGATCAGGTTCCACGGGTCACCATTGCTCAGGGATATGATGCACTCAGCTCCATGGCCAACATTGCTGGGTATGATTTTTTTTTTTTTTTTGGCTTCATTAAGTATAGCTGGTTTAAAATCATGTGCTTTGATGTTAGGCGTATCTAATATAATTCTACATCTTTATTTTCATGAAGAGCTGTTTCAAGCAGGGTGATGTTAAAGTATTTTATGGTTAGCTTTATAGCAGATCAGAGCAATGCTTTTAAAAAAAACAAAACACAATTCTTCTAATTCATTGACTGTTTTGTCTAGTACCTTTTTGCTGTGAACTAAGTTATCTTGAATACAGATTGTCTGTCATGGGGATCTGGTGTTGTTAGGATCTAACTAACCCAAAGAACACTCAATTGCCATGGCAGTTACAAACAAAAGATCAAATATTGTCAGACATCCCCATAGAAATATGAATAAAGACTATTAAGCTTGTGTTCAATGGTAAAATAGTAAGCTTGCTTTATCCTACACATACTCTGGTCAAATGTTCATCTTTTAGATTGATGTAGTGAATAGAATTTACTGAATCTGAGAAAACACTGATATGTGTTCATCCTTGATTGACAGTTACAAGGCTGTGGTCCTGGCAGCAAATCACTTCGGTCGATTTTTCACGGGTCAAATCACAGCTGCTGGTAAAGTTCCTCCAGCAAAGGTATGTGCAATTAAACACACACTGTGGCGAAAGAATATGTGAATTTCTGAGCAAAGGTAGCTGTTGCTGAAACTATGTTAAATGGCTTTTTTTCCTGCCTTTGGGCTGCTTTTGAGACTTCAGAAGTTGCAGAAATTATTCTCATACCACTTTTTGTTCACATCTGTTCCGGTTTTGTTTTGGGAATATTAGAATAATTTGAGTTTTATTTAAGATTGCTTAGTTTTAAACATCAGATTAGCTATAAGGGGTTGGATTTATTTTTTTTCAAAATAGGAGAAGGTAAGGAAGCAGTGAAAAAAATTCAGAGATACTGGTATTTCTGGTGCATTGAGGAGTGTAATGGAAAGATTTACTTGATTGGAATTACAGGTGGATTGTGTTAAGAGAAAGGAAAGTAGAATTAAGGAAGAAAAAAGGAAGATAAATCAAGGAGAAAACCTGTGTTTACTTAGATAAACTGTTAGCTAAGAGAACAGTTTGGTCTTAGATATGTGTAATTAAGAGCTTTTAAACTACTGGATGTATGGGGCAACTCCACCCAATTAAATTTGGTTTTCTTGTAAGGTATCTTGTTTAAATGGCTGGTTAATGAGATGTATCATTTTAGGTGCTGATCATTGGAGGAGGGGTTGCTGGCCTGGCTTCTGCAGGAGCAGCAAAATCGATGGGTGCAGTGGTTCGTGGGTTTGATACTAGGTAAGGGTGTGAAAATTGTAATATCAATCTGAAATTTCTTGAAGATTAAGTTGTTTATGGCTGTATTAGAGTGAAATAATTTGTACTACACTGAGTCATAATTCACTTCCTACCATTTTTATGCCATCATTAGTCCTTAATTTTTATTAATTTTAAAATCTGTCTAAAACTTTTTTATTTTAATTCCCTTCTTAAGTACTCTAGATACTTTTATCTTGAGATTCAAGAACATTTATGTCTCATTCTTTGCATGTTGTCACTGTTCACCTAACACTGAAATTTAGTCTCTCTATTTAATGTGATGTCATATGATGCAAAACAAAATACAGAATATTAACAAGCCACAACTTCAAACATCCACCCCCTGGCAATTTTCCCTGTGAAAAAAAGACTTATTAGTACTTTCCATCTCACAGTTTAAAGACAAGGGCACGGGTTTTGTGCTTATCTCCCATTTTAAGCACCTTAGTTTGGGCTGTAGATTTACCAAATCATGACAACAGAAATGCATGAGGAGAGTTAATCAGGAAAGCCTCAGCTTTGAGATTTTTCTTGAAGCAACTCTGCTGACTATACAGGAAACCATAGGCTGCCTTCATTCCTTGTTGAAGTCTGACTGGAACCTAAATTTATCAATGCAATTATTTTTTGCACTGAATACAGAAAGCTGAGGACTTCTGTTATGGTGTCCTTAATACTAGAATAAGTTTTACTTCTCTTGTCTGAAGATTGCTACTAAAACCACTGGTAAAGTCATGATTTTCAAAGTAGTGTTTTTTCTCTCAACTGCAATTTTCTTTTTCTAGAGCTGCAGCCCTGGAGCAATTCAAGTCTCTTGGAGCTGAGCCTTTGGAAGTAGACATAAAGGAATCTGGAGAGGGACAAGGTGGTTATGCTAAAGAAATGTCCAAAGAATTTATTGAAGCTGAAATGAAACTCTTTGCCAAACAGTGCCAAGATGTTGATATTATCATCACTACAGCACTTATTCCAGGTATGTTTTATGTGAAAAATGCTAATTTTCTTTCTTCTAGGTAAGTTGTCATATTTTGAGGTTGCATCTGCATGAAAACAGAGGGGTTAATGAATTATATCTGTGTGAGCATGTGCCTTTACACTTCTGTGATAAAGGCCTAGTTTTAAAGTGTGTCCTATTTTTTTAAACAACTTTTGTTTTCATAGACTATCAGTATGAATCAAATATGGTTGTGTTTTTCTCACTAGAAAAGGACTATTTAGTAATAAAGTGAGAATATATAATTCTCTTACATATCTATTGCATCACTGCTACTTCTGCTATACAGCTTGTGCCCTGAAACAAGTCTGATTGAGAACTGTCCTTTTTACTTGAAACATAGTAAGGTAGATGTTAGAATTTACTGCTTTGTGTTGCACAATGTCTGTATTTTAATAGCTGGCAATGTGGTGGCTTTTTTAAAAAAATTTTTGTTATGACTGGACTTGTAAGATTAGATGTTAAGACTGTGGGATTGCTGGCAGAATTGGACTTATTCTTGGTAGAGTACCATGCATAACTTTCTTGTATGCTTTTGGAGCAGGATGTTCTAGCACTTCTTCTATCTTTCTAAAAAAAACTTCTGTGATTTTTTTATCCTAGGTACCAATTACTTGAAAATTTTGCTTACAAAATTAAAACCTATATGTAGAGCAAAGAGAAGGCATCTCCTAAGCTCAACAGATAGAAAGCTGTATTTTGTGTTTAACTTGCTATGCCTTGTTTTGTCAGGCAAAAAAGCTCCAATCTTGTTTAAGAAAGGTATGATTGAATCAATGAAGGAAGGTTCAGTTGTTGTGGATTTAGCTGCAGAAGCAGGAGGAAATATTGAGACTACAAAGCCTGGAGAAATGTATGTTCATAAGGTGAGCATTTTAATCTGCTGTTCATTCTCAGTTCACCTAACTTCTATGCTGTTTTGTAAACTGTATGCTGAAAATAAGCAGCTGAGTTTTCAACAGTCTTTCAGCTGCTTTGGGCTGAAGCAGTCCTTTAGAAATGCATTTGATCACTATTTAAATACATAAATTTGAATATTTTTAAAGAAACTAATACCCCTGTATAGTGCTAATTTGGTTGTTAATGGATATTACAGAATTCTTGCTACTTAAACATCCTAGTCCAGTATTTGTCTCTTCTGAGTTGAAGGTGGGATTTGATATCTATTTCTTGGTCTATCTAAAAAACACAGCAGCAGCAATAGGTTCTTTGATTTACTTATCACCTTCCATGACTGGAGGTTAACATTTCCTGTCATAGGTGAAGCTAAGCAGGTTCAGACTCTCAGTGTTTACTTCAGTACAAAGTCTCTGGCTTACTCAGTACTATTTCAGCTTCAGGAGGTTTTCTTTATCTTCAGCAACATGAGTATCCAAAGCACTTGAAACCCAAAATACATGTAGCATAAAATGGTTCCTTAAAGTAAGCAGTTTTGGTCTGGACTGAACTACTTTGGTTTTGCTCCAGTGTTCATTTGCTCAATTGAGATCTTGTGTTCTGCTTTTTGGGTTTTGTTTTTGGTGCTTATGGGAAATCTGCTAACAATTACAGAAATCTGGATGATGAGATTTATAGTAGCAGTTTTCCTAGGTAATGCAAGGATATAATACCTTTATTTGGGAAGCCTGTAGGACACTGCTGCCATGGTTGTCATTGACATAAGCAGAATTCTGTTTGTATATGTCAAAGAATCACATGTTGCACTTGTCTTTGTGGCTTTCTAGGGCTTTTGATGTCATTGCTTAAAACCTGAAACTAGAGAATGTGGAAGAGAAGTAAGCAGATACTTGCATGAAGGGTTTATATGGAACACTTTTAGTCAGAGGAGTATTACCCCTGGATTTAGTGTACTGGCTCTGTGTTATGGAAAATAGCAGCAGTGCAGAACTATTAGGATTGTGCTAGAGCGTTGCATTAGGAAGCCAGAGTTCTGGAAGTGTTTATGGATCTTAGCTGTAAGTTGTGAGAGCAGTGTTTTAACACATGCCTGCTTTTGAATACCTCAGAGTGTATGCCAGCCTCAGCTTCCCATTCCTTCCTAAAGCCTGATATCCTTTAGTTCTCATTAGTTCTTTAAGCAGTGAGGATATATGAGGTTACATTTTTGGATACGTATGTGTTGTGTTGCACTAAAACTCAATAATACACATATGAACTCAGATATATTACTTGCACAGCTCTGAGGGAGCTCCCTTCACTCCGGTGGCATACAGAAAGTTGTCTCCAGTGCCTGCCTTCCAGAAAAACCGAGAAGATGCCAAGCATTAGGTGGATTAATTTGATACCTGATGGATTACAGAATTTAGGTTCTGAGAGAATATAGGATTTGGAGAAGACAAGCTCTTGCACCAATATCTTCCTCTTTGTGAAGTCTTGTTGCTAAAGAGTTTAAGGTGTTGGATTTGATCATGTTGAATTCTGTAGCTATTGTGAGTGATCTGTCTCTGACTTAGTGTCAGAGCTGCAGATAGCCGATTTAGTTGGAGTTATGAACCAAGATAGTGATACAGTTTGGATAGATATTTCCAGAAGGATATACTGGAAGAGATTATGTTTTTTCAGAGATTGTACAAATCCTTATTATTTTACTTGGTTTTTTTTTCAGGGTGTTACACACATTGGGTACACAGATCTGCCTAGCAGAATGGCTACTCAGGCCAGTACCCTGTATTCTAATAATATTATCAAACTTCTAAAAGCTATTAGTCCTGACAAAGAGAACTTCTACTTTGATCCAAAAGATGACTTTGACTATGGGACTCTGGATCATGTTATTAGAGGAACTGTAGTAATGAAGGTAAGCCAGTAAATACTCTATTCTTAATTGTGAGTACAGACCTAACGCTTGTTATTTCTGTCTCTTCAAAATGTGTTCAGAGATATTGCATGTCAACAGACTTCACAGGTGGCTTGATGGAGCGTGTGGGTAACTGTGTGTTTATTCAGCTGAAAATTCCTGTTTCTTTTTAGTCTTGTCTTCTTGTCAAGGTTAAAGTTAATGTATTTACTAATGAAAAATAGGAAAAAGATAAAATTTGTGTGTTTCATGTGATGAAAACATAGCTACTTAAAACAGATTTGAGGCGTTACCAGACCAAAACATTTTCCCAGAAATGCATTCGTCCTTAAAAAAAAAACCAAAAAACAAAGTGTTCCTTCTGTAGTAAAAGAAAAAAAATGGTGAAATTAGAATATTCAAAATACTTGAAGCTTTATCAGAAAATAATAAAATAAAAACTCAGGGCATGGACTTCAGCTCTCCCAGACCATTGAAGTGGTGTGTACAGCTCAGTAGCTCCACAGAGGCCTGAAGATTAACAAGAAATGTTGGATATCATCCTTGGTTCCTATCTGTGGTCTAGAAAGGCTGTGATTAAAGTTCACATCTGTAGCAGATTTTGTTATTTCCAAGACTTAGTTTTATTTTGCATAGATGTTTTCCACTTAAGGAACTTATCTCTTTGCTTTTCTCTTGTTTCTGCTCTGGAGCCTTGTGCTGTGTCTTCACCAGATACTCTTGGATGCTAATATCAGGTCTTGTCTGAAGAAGGTGTAAACCAGTATGATTAACTTGGTCATGCCTTGCAGACTTCTGCTGATGCAACAAAAGAGCCTGTTCCTGGGCATGGCTGTAGATGTTAGCACTTGCCTGAGTTGCAGGATTAAGAAGAATAGGCTTCTCTAAGTACTAAGCATCTGCCATGTTAGGCGTAACTGTAAATATCTCTTGTCAGGATGGCAAAGTGATTTTCCCAGCACCTCCACCAAATAACATTCCTCAGGGAGCGCCAGCGAAACAGAAGACTGTAGCAGAGTTGGAAGCAGAAAAAGCAGCTACTGTTACACCTTTTAGAAAAACCATGACTACTGCATCTGTATACACAGCAGGTAGGCAACTAGCTGGAGAATCAGTGTAGAGTACTTCTCATTTGGCTAATATTTTTGAATGACCCATCATCTAACTTATTCAGTTGAATAGCTATTTGGGAGAGCAGTTGATTGGCTGGTGTATCCTGGTACAAAATCAGTATGGTATAAGAATTGCTTGAGAGGGAAAATAAAACTTCTGAAATTTTACCAGAAGTATTTGACATTTCAACAAGTGCTGATTCTATGTGTGTTTGACTCTACTTAAATATTAGTAAAATGCTTAAAATTCTGAAGGACTCCTGCCAGGGCCTGTGCCCCTTCTTTGCAGCAGAATCAGTTCAATGTCTTTGCTTTCTTCAGATTTTACTGTATTGTGTGAGACTTAAATGAACCACATCTACCAAAGTATTGGAAATAGGACTTTGACATCATTTCATTTGTTACTCTCAGTGTATCAGAACTTTTGCATGAAGTAATTAATGAATTAAGTAGTCTTAATTTTAATCCTGTTCTTCATACATATGCTTTTATACATCCAAGCAATATGTCAACATAATTGTGACTTGCACATTTTTTTCTATAGAACAGGAGAGTGACAGAATTCAGTGTTGGTGTAGAAACCTATCTTTGCTGCATTGTGTCCATGCATAACAAATATGCTTGGATTATATTTATGGCTTTATTTTCTGTTACAAAGGAAAGATTAGCACTGAAACAACTTAGTGTTTTTGAAAAATGATCATCCTGATTTTGAAACTAGTCCATGCAGAGAACTCCATTTTGCTTTTGTGTCAGTACTAGGCTCCTGTATTGTACAGTTTAAATGTAAGAAGTCATTGAAAAGTTACAGAGTTTTCCTGTGCTTTCCTTCTAGGTTTAGCTGGTATGTTAGGACTGGGCATTGTAGCACCTAATGCTGCTTTCACACAGATGGTGACGACGTTTGGCCTCTCTGGGATAGTGGGGTATCACACAGTCTGGGGTGTGACTCCTGCTCTGCACTCCCCACTCATGTCTGTGACTAATGCTATCTCAGGTAAGTGGCTGTCACACAGCTGCTTGTTTTCTACTTGAAGAAGGCACAACTCCTTTTACCTGAATTAGTACTGTGCATGTTTGAGTTTACTTTCATAAATAGCAAGGACACCTGAAACAATGTGTTTCTGAGAGTATGATTTTTTCAAAAGAAAAGCAAATGGGATGCTGTATCCTTTTAATTTTCATAAGTAATTTTTACACTTGACCAATTTGCTTGAAAGTTTGTTTTACTTGGGGTGGTGCAGTCTCTTTTCATAGACCACGTGTTTTCTCCCATCTCTTCAAAAGATCGCCCTGAAAATAACTAACCTTTCCTATTTTTTACATTCTTCTATTCATCTTCTCAATGTGTTTTGAGAGAGAGGAAAAAAGAAAATAAATCCTAAAATACCCATAAAATTAGTAATTCTTATAAGTAAGATTGTATGTATCTGTGCTTGGTTATATGTGGATCTACTTTGGTTATTATAAACAAAGTTTCTTTTATTGAACAACTACTTGGCTTGAGGCGCTGTTCTTCAAAACTACATTAATGTACTCGTTTTTTTTTTTTTTTCTTTTGAAACATGTTTGTGTTCCTGAAAAAGACCGTGGTAGTCTTCTTTTAAGCATAAATGTGTGAAGTAGGGGTCAGAATTTGAGTTGACTGGTATTTGTCCAACAGTTGAAAGGAAACTTCCTATAGGTGTAGAGCCTTTTGAGGTTACACAGTAACCTTTTCCAGTAACACTTTTATCTCTTTTAAATAGGTCTGACTGCAGTTGGTGGGCTGGTACTGATGGGAGGACATTATCTCCCTCAAAACATTTCCCAAAGCCTAGCAGTGCTTTCAGCCTTTATATCTTCAGTCAATATTGCAGGTATGAATGTTAGCTTTTCTCCTGAAGATAATTTCAAGTACTAGTATAATTTTTAAATTTCATCTAGTTATTTAATTGTATAATTCCAGAAATACTGGTCTGAGAATAGAATCTGAGAGCATTTATCAATAAAAACCCATTAGCCCTCCCATTTTCACAGTAGTTATTTGTAGGTATTTTGCATACCCTGTGGAGTAACCTATTTTAGGAATTATTTAAATGTGCATTTTCCTTTCATAAATTTGGGTGATGATTATATACAATATATTTTCCTGTATAGCCCAAGAGGGTAGTTGTAGAGGATTTGTACGTGTATTAATTTTCCTACTTGAAGTATGTACTAGTAGCATAGAACAAAATTCTGTTTTCTCGAGCTTCAGCAGTCCCAGCTTCAATAGTAAAAAGGCAACAAAGTGAGCAATGTGACTTAAAACTAGTGCTTTTGCTAGAGCAGGTTGGGAAAGGAGCACAGTCATAAACTAAGCTGTATCCTACGGTCAGTATACAGTATGAAGCCAGAGCAATTCTTCCTTTTCTTCTGAATTTCTTCCAAAGGCTAAAAGAGACAGCAAGATCTAATGCTGATTATATGGTTGTTTCCTGGTAGTTTTCTAGGTTACTAGCTTTATTGGTTGCTGAATTATATGGTAATATGGTATCCTACTAAATATTTCTCTTATAACTTGGCATGTGCTTGATTTCAGATTTTTTTTTTAAGATTGTTCCTTTACTTTGTCCAGGTGGCTTTTTAGTTACACAGAGAATGCTGGATATGTTCAAACGTCCCACAGACCCTCCTGAGTACAACTACTTGTACCTGCTCCCTGGTGGTGTATTTGTAGGAGGCTATGCAGCTGCTCTCAGTGGTGGCTATAACATTGAACAAGTAAGAAGATAACTTCATGGCTCTTAGCCCAGTGCTCAGTGTTATGTTTCTTCATGCCTGTTCTGTGGAGGAGTAAATAACAAATAATCCAAGGTCTTTCCATCAGCTTCATGTTCCCACAAGGCCAATCTGAAGCTGATTAACTGTAAGCTTGTAGTCACATAGGTAACATACTTTAAAAGCTCTGTTGTTGCTTAGTTTTGTGTTAACATAGCAGGTGCTTATATTTATTGGACTGGTTTCCTAAACTGCAGTCTAAATAATATGGTAACTACAGAAATCAGTCTTTGTTTTAAATGTTTCTGAAAGTTCAGCTTGGCATGACAGTTAAAAAAGGATGGGATCAGTTTTCAGCACAGAGGGATGTATAGGGATTTTACCTATAACACCTTTTATAGTAACTTCTGTTTACATTTGTTTTAATAGTAAGAAAAACAAATTTATATTGCCTTGTGCATTTGGAAAAAGTGAATCCAAACATACTGTTATGGCAGGGGCTTGTAATGTATTTGTGTTTTGTCAATTATCTGGACATATATAACTCAGTTCATATAAGTGTGTTTATACTTTTTGCAAACAACAGTTATAGAATGCCACAGAATCATTAGTGTGGGAAAAGACCTTTAAGATCATCAAGTCCAGCTGTCAGCCTTGCACCACCACCATGGTTACCACTAGACCATGTCCTCAAGTACTACATCAAAAGTTTTTTGGAACACTTCCAGTGATGGTGACTGCATCACTTTTCTGGGCAGCCTGTTCCAAAGTTTAGCCATGTTTTCCATGACCTGATATCTAATATAATCTTGCCCCTGAGCAACTTGAAGCCATTTCCTCATGTCCTCTCTCTTGTTACCTGAGAGACGAGACCAATTCCCACCTGGTTGCAGTCTCATTTTGAGGAGTTATACAGAGTAATAAAGTCTCCATTGATCTTCCTTTTCTCCAGACTGAACACCCTCAACTCCTTCCTCATCAGACATGTGTTCCAGGTGCTTCACCAGCTCTGTTGCCCTTCTCTGGACTTGCTCCAGTGTCTTTATTGGAGTGGGGGGTCCAAAACTGGACATAAGATTGAAGGTGTGGCTTCTCCAGTGCTGACTACAGGGGAAAGATCACATTTTTACTCCTTCTGGCCACATGCTTGCTCTTAGTTCAGAACTATCTAAACTATTTCTTAGATCAAATTTGCCATAAACAAATTCTGAAACTATCCCTATAATGAACAGGACCATATAGCTTTGGATTTGTGCTAAAGGAAAGGTTGCTTCTGAACTGATGAGGAAAATTGGTTTGGCTTTAGTTAATATTCATTCTGCAGATAAAAAAGGGTTATCAAGTGAGGGAAAAGCTTTATAGATATCACATTTTAATTGGCCAAAACCTCATCCTCTATGACAGTTTCTTGATTTTAATTAAGAATTGTGACTTAAACACATTCTGGAGAAATCAGCCATTTTGTGTAATTATCAGAGATGTTTTTGTAGCAATGCAATTTGTGACTACGTCATACTGATGTTTTTTCTTGTTTTAAAGGTGATGTATCTAGGCTCAGGACTGTGCTGTGTTGGTGCCCTGGCTGGTTTGTCTACCCAAGGAACAGCTCGTCTTGGAAATGCTTTGGGTATGATTGGTGTTGCAGGAGGATTAGCTGCAACTCTTGGAAGCCTTAATCCCTCGCCTGAATTGTTGGCACAGATGTCAGGTGCAATGGCACTTGGTGGGACCATAGGTATGACTATGATGAACTAACAATCTATGTTCCATATATGCATATATGAAACCTGTATATACATAAAATACTGTATAGCTCCCAAGTGAATTGACTAACTGACATTAGTGGCTTTTGCAGAATTATTTTGCAAATGTGTGAACAAAACTTTGTAACTTTCACGGCTTTTATTAATGCTTCACAATGTGATAAGGAATGAGCTGACTGAAAAGTGGGACCACATCATCTCTGATAGGGAAACTTGTGTCCAGAGGTAAATGATCTTGCCCAGCTTTATACCTCTGTTCAGTTCCTGACCAACTACTGCCAAATTTTCTCTTTCACACTGTGCCTTTGTCACAGAAAACAATTAATTTCTCAATATTTGGTGAAGCTTCTTAGCACATGATATGCTTTAATCTTTCTATTTTTCATGCACAAAATGCACAAGTGCAACCTTTGGTTCAATGTCATAGTGATTTCTAGTTGGAACAGACTTCTGTAATCATTGCACACTGAACCATCCTGTACTAATTTCTACCTGAACAGGTGGGCTGTGTTTTCTAAGACTTCCCTTCTGTCTTCAACTCTCAATAGGTTTGACAATTGCTAAACGCATCCAGATTACAGATCTGCCTCAGCTAGTGGCTGCTTTCCACAGTTTGGTCGGTTTGGCTGCTGTGCTCACCTGTGTAGCAGAGTACATGATTGAATATCCTCACTTTGCCACCGATCCTGCTGCAAACCTCACCAAGATTGTGGCATATCTTGGCACGTACATTGGTGGAGTGACATTCAGTGGCTCTCTTGTTGCGTATGGAAAACTGCAAGGTGAGACCTTCTGTTCAGAATTAAATATTTGTTAAAGGGTTTTTCTTCCCCTGGAATTTAGCTCTACTTTTAGACTGCTATGTAATTGGAAAAAGACATTGTATTTTGGACCAAGTAAAAGTATATGTGTAATTTTTAAGAGTGTACTTTTTTGTTTCTAATTCTGTTTAATTTGTGCACAGCTTTAGTTATGAAAAGTTGTCTTCAGTGCTTTGACATATTATTATTCATCTTGTCTAGAAATAAGTGTTGCTTTGGTGTTAAAACACTACCTGATGCTTTTTCTCAAATTAATTTTATCGAACTTTTATGATCACAACTTTGTATTTCTGAGCAGACATTTTGATTGAAACTCTCATATTGCTGGATTCAGTGAGCACTAGTAATACTTCTAAGATTTTGTTCTTAACACTGCAATCTTCATTAAGGTAGGCAGCCTGCAGTATTGAGGCTGCCTCACTTTAAACTATTCAGTTCACTGTCTATTTACCTACTGCTCAGACTCCATGTTCCGCGCCTCTTGCTGTTTTAGCAAATATGTTTTCTAAGTTAAATACTCACTAATTCCTGATTCTTGTGCATGTGAAGGTTTCTTTATTGCATTTATTTTTGGTTTTGTAAGCACACAGCTTTTGAGAAGCTGGTAATACTTGTACTAGGAATTTCAGGCTAAGAGCTTCCTATACTAATCCTGTTGTTAACTTTGCAATAGTTCCTTTGGGAAACATCTGTTTGCTTTCTTCAATGTTTGTGAGACCAGCTATTGAAGGAGGAAACATGACAAGGATGGAAAGCTGTCTTCTCTAATAATCTTTTGAAGGATTTGTCAGTAGTATGTATTTCTGATGTATCTCTGCTAAGTAGTTATTAATTTATTTTTTCTGAGTTACTTTTCTCTCTCCATTGTACCCCCTCAGTGATTTGTGCGCATGTCCCTGGTAAACTTCACTGCCTGTTTGAGCCTGCTCTCCTATTTCTGTTTACTGTTTTCTCCCTTGCATTTTCATGTCATCATGGTATGAAATATGAAGTTTGTCTCTATTAGCAAACTACTGATCCTGTGCTATGGACAAGGGTAGTAAGTCACACACTTTGACTCCCCTGGCTGAGACCATCAGTTCATTCTTTGCCTTGAATTCAGCTTTTCACAAATTTTTATGAGAAAATTAAAATGAACGAAATGAAATGGAAATGAATGAAATTAAAATGAATTTTAAATGAAAATTAATTTTTTTTCCTAAAATCTAAATGAGACACTTATTTCTGATGTAAGTAATTAGTGGGAAACTTCCATTGTTTCAACCCTTTGTCATGTGGTTTGAAAAAAAAAACCCAGTATGAAATAAATGTGACTGTCTTTTTGAACTGAATCACACAAATACTGAACCGCCTTTTCCCCTCAAGTTTCTGCAGATGTGGGAAGCTGTGGGAGTTCCGTATGACTGAGGGTAGTTGTGAAATTAATGCATTTGAAAACAGGAATGTTTTGTACTTGGTGTGATCTGTGTAGTCATATTTTTTTAAGCACACAGTTTTTGAGAGACTGAGATAATCCTTGTGTAGAAATTCCAGCTAAAAGCTTCCTTCTACTGTGTGTCATATTCAACATACAAAGACCTGGAGACAAAGTGGAAGGGCTTTGTTGAAGGAAAAAGAAAAAGGCTTTTCAAAAGGAAAAGAGATTTTTCTAACTATTCTGGAGCACTTCAGTGAAATTAGGAAGTAAATAGAGTTTAAAGAAGAATACTTGAGAATCTAGAGGAAGTTTGAATGTCTTGCAGTTCTGAGTCAGCAGAAGATCTCAGCTTCAACTAACTTGTTTTATCTTTTACCCCTCCCGTTTTTTCTTTTTTAATTCTTCTTTTGCTGAGTTATTCAGTCTTCTCTGAACTTTAGCAACAGGCTTCCTTTAATGTACATGTTCACGTCTGAAAATGTGTGTTATTGCAGGTATCCTGAATTCTGCACCTCTGCTCTTGCCTGGTCGACATGCATTGAATGCAGGATTGCTGGCTGCCAGCATTGGTGGGATGATACCCTACATGATTGATCCTTCTTACACCACGGGAATTACTTGCCTGGGTTCTGTGTCAGCACTCTCAGCCATAATGGTAAGTTGAGGAATAGTAGAAAGTGAAACAAGTTACACAAGGAGTTTATTTTCCAGTCCTGCAAGTTTCCTCTTTATGCATTTTATTTTACCATACTGAGTCACAGTGGACATGGTGCCTGCCTGTGTAGTAACTTGCAGTAACAAGTAGCAACTGACTTTTCTAGATCCAGCTGTAAACCAGAACTGTTCCAGAGAACTGGAATGCATTTTTATACTTACTTTTTGCGGCTAGTGATTAATGAAGTTTTTATATGACAGACTGATATTTGAGAAGACTTTTTAGAAAGTCAATCCCTAAAATACCTAAAAGAGCTCTGGATTTGCAGATTATTATGGTAACTTCTTGAGATGACTTCCGTATGTAACTTCTGCCATTCACTACACCAGTGTATGCCAGTGTTGCAAAATTTGTCTTGAATATTGCCATTCTGTAAACTGAGTCTTGCAAAGACTCAGTATGAATGCCTTAATGGTGTGAACAGTTCCATGTAGCTGGTAGGATAATTTTGCAAGTGAAGAAATGTGATTAAGCAGAGCATGAGTATGGTGGGGTATCTTTCTGTCCTCTCTGAAAAGGCAGATTTGGTAAGTCCAATCCTCAGCCTGAATACCTACACTGACAATACTTGAATAGGCTCTAAGTAACTTGATAATTGCTTAGAAGGGTTGTGGATGTCCCATTCTTGGAAGTGTCCAAGACCAGGTTGGATGGGACCCTAAGCAACATGATTTAGTGGGTAATATCGCTGCCCAAGGCAGGGCAGTTGGAACTGGCTGATCTTTAAGGTCCCTTCCAACATAAACCATTATATGATTCTATATTTATTTTTCAGTGCTGAGTGTCTTTTCTGGGTGTCCTCCTTAGTCACTGCTGATGTGAAGTACTTTCTTTCCTTCTCCAGGGTGTCACTTTAACAGCAGCTATTGGAGGTGCTGACATGCCTGTAGTTATTACTGTCCTGAACAGTTACTCTGGATGGGCTCTGTGTGCTGAGGGCTTTCTCCTGAACAACAACTTGCTGACCATTGTTGGTGCACTCATAGGATCCTCTGGGGCCATCCTCTCCTACATCATGTGTGTGGTAAGAAATCAACAGAAACTCTGCTTGTTTGCTGAGTAATGAAAAGATTTTTAACCATGTTTTTTAGGAAGATAAGTCACTGGATCTCAAACTGTTAGATGTTTATAGACTAGAAAATTCTTGATTGAACTGTTGGACTAGATGTCAGTAATTTTTCTTTGTTTGGGTGAGAGACATCTTAAAACTGAGGAAAGCCCTCGCATTGACTTAAACGTTAAGGATTTGAATCTGGGCTCAAAGAAGTATGATTACTTGTGGTCAGCTATTTTTTTTTTCAGTCATACAGCTTCGGAAAAGTGGTTAAATTTAAGCTAGATTTAATATGTAGCAGGAGATACTTTAAGAAGTGTGTTCGTTGGTTAGGCAGTGATCTGCAGTTTGGTTTTTGGAGTGCAGAAAGGTGTGCTCTTTTCTTCAGAGCAGCTACTTTGAAGTACCACCGGGTGGCAGCAGACCTGCACGAGTTCAGTGCTGTGTGTCGGCAAGCTTGAGCTTCATCTCGGTGTGAGACTTGTATTGTGCTATTAGTAATGACCTCCTTTTCTCTGGAACATTTGTATAAAGGCCTTGTATTCAAAGATGGAGAGGTAGTGGTTTAAAGAAACCGTTGGCAGTGCAAGAGCTGCCAACTTTCTCATTCTGTTGTGTAATCCTGCTTTATTTGTGCTCTTGTGTGATCGGTGCCACTGTTCTCCTGTCTGATGTTTTCCTCTGGTCAGCTCTGGAGATCATCTTTTACTTCATCTCCACTGGTAATTAGTACTGTTACCATGTTAGGAATGTTCAGTATCATTCTTGAGGAAAAATTCTAGAAAAGCTTAAAAAGGTATTCTTGTGCAACTACATGAAAGTTAAAATTCACAATTCTGGGTATGAATTGCAAATAATTGTGTTCTTTCTTGAACACTTTCTGTCTCCTTATCAAAAGGAAATCAAATTATGCGTCTCATATATTTAGTTGTATACGTTCAGGAATTTAGTCCATATCAGTGGAAAAATAGTGCTTATGGGTAACACAGGTATAAAAACTCCATTAAGAATCAAATTCTTGTAAACTTTAGGGAAAATGTGAACTGTGTGGTGTGTATTTACCAATAATCTATCTATACCTTTGGTTTTTTTTTAGTGTCTCCTTCCTTTCTTAATGTTGCTCACCTCTCTTAGCACTCACAAGAGAGTTTTGAAATAGTTACAGTGTTGATTGGAGGAACCTAGGTAAATAGGAAGCCTGGGGGAGTAGTTAACAAAATAGTTAAGCAGTGACAGAGTGGCTTTCCCCAGTGTTTCTCAGATTACAGGAAGTTTAGTTTTTGAGGTAGTATCTAGAAATCTTGTGCTGCTTTATGTAAGCTTAGACAACTGAAGTTTATCAACGAGTAAAATGAAAATTATTTTGTATGATTTCTGTCCAGTAAGCAGAATAACATGATCTTAGTCGAGAATTTTTCTTTTCTACTTTACTTCTTTAAAGGAAATCATTACTTTTAAAAGCATTGTTATAATCAGGGGATTCAGTATCATTGTCTTGAAGCTGCATTTCAGGAGAAGGAAATGCTCAGGAGTTTCAATAAATTCTGCTCTTGGTGTTTCAACCTGCACTAATGAAGCAAAAGTTCCTCTTTCCAGTTTCTGGTTTTTTTTTTTTTTTTTTCCTGTAGGTTTGGGGATTTTTTTGTTTGGTTTGGTGTCTCCCCCCCACTTTATAGTATGATTTCTGTCAAAACAAATATATTTATTGATTCTTACCTAGCACAGGTTTTCACCTGTAGTTGTGGAAACATCTTAGTAGTTGAAACCTTATTTTTACAATATTTTTCTAAATAATTGTTGTGATAAAACTGTAACTTAATTGTCCAAAGGCAGTCCAGCTAATCTCTTAAGGCCTCAGATGACAACTGAGTTAAGGACAGAGAATTTAACTTCAAAAAGCAAAGGCCTGTACTGTTTGCTTATCCTGTGAATTGTGACTCTTTTAAAACCAACACAATGCATCTTATTCAGAACATTTGATTGTTAGCATGTCCTTGTCCCTCCTTTTTTCCCTAGAGGGAATACTTGATGATTGCAATTTTGGAATTAGAATCATTATGGGATGCAGAAGAAACTTAAGGTTGAAGAGGAACCATTAATTGGGTTGATGAAACAGAGCAAGAGAGGGGACAAACTGTGTTAGTCTTAAAAATTGTATGCTGGCCATTCCTGTGTACTAGCTGTGAAATTTCTATGGGCACAGTGGAAGCACTTGCAGTTCTCAGGATTCAGGTATTTGATTTTCCCCGGACTGTAAGCTCATGACCATTGTTGTTACTCACCTGTGCTCAGCACAGTAGGCTTTTTGCCACTTGTTGGATTATCAATGAGTGATGAAGCTTGCACTTACATCTCTATATTTGTGGTCTGTGGTGGAAGAAGCTAAGAGACGTTGGTTAACAAATGCTTGATAAGGTCTTGGCTCTTCTGTGCCTTCCACATTTTCTCTTGGAAGTTCTTGGCTCTTTGCGTGAAGCCTGGCACAGGTGCTTCAATCTCTCTTGCTTTTAGCTGATTCTCCGATGTCTAATAATATTTTATTTTCTTTTTTTTTTTTTTCCCTATGACTTGGTCTGACTGTTGTCTTTTGGTTTAGATATGTGTAGAAAGTTCTCTGCTTCCTGTAAGCTTGGCATGTACAACATCTGCAGAGGGTATTCTTCTGTCTAGGCTGTCCTACCTGACACAACTGCTGTAATGTTGAGATAGATGCCAAAGACAGTGTGTTCTTAGGGCATGTGAACTACTGTGTGCTGCAGACAATAAAAAATGTTGATTTCACTGTGCTTGTATGCATCCCTTACAGTATCTGCAACAGTGATGACTTATAAGGAAAAATAGAAGTTCTAACATCATCGTCTTGCTTATTTGCTAGATAATAAATTTCAAAGAATGGCACATCTTCTAAGGCTATAGCAAAAAAACCTGTGGAACTGCATGGTTTGAAATGCCATTGGAGAATGGACATCTGGAGGCACAATTTTGTGCTTCCTCCTACTTATATTTGTGTCTCTCCACATCTATTCCTAAATTTTGTCATGGTTTCCCAGCTAGTACAGAAGATGTATGACTCATATGTGTGATTAAACAAGCATTTTATCCTCTTCCTTTCCTGCTTCTAAAGTTTTTTCTCCCCTGCAGTTACAAGTTTTTCCTATTTCCAGTTATTGACCGATATTGCTTTGGGACCACAGTCACAAGTAGACATGCCAAAGAAAGCATTTAGCCAATAGCTTTTCCTGGCTGTCTGTCTAATGGAGCCAGATTTTCAGGGTGTGTTCTTCTCTTAAACCTTCTAGTTAAAATCTCTTGTTTTCCTTTGGTGGTCAGCCAGTAAATCAATGGCCCCCTTCAGTTCTTTACAATGTGGCTGGTTTTTTGTGGCTGATTAGCTGCTTTTCTGTTTTCCTGTTTTGTTGCTGTAGCAGTTTTGTTTCAGTACTACCTGTAAGAGCTTTGTGGATTCTATTCTGTCATGGAGCAGTCCTGTGTTTACATGTTGAACTGGTTAAAAACTATGGAAAATGTCTTGCAAAAATGTGGGTATATACCAATGTAAAAAAATTCTTAGAAACTCTGTCATCCAACATGCATTCTTTCATATTCTTCCCTTTTAAGAACAAAAAGAGACCAATATTTGCTATTTGCATAGTTATGTTCTTTGTTTTGGAGAAATATTGGCGCTCTCCCACTACGTGTGTAATGTAATATGTTCGAAGCTGATGTTTGGTGATGGCTGTGGTAGACTGTTTTAAACAGCCTGTTTTAAGAGTCTTTGGGTTATAAGAAGGAAAAACCAGCTTATAAAGACTATTGTCAGGAAGCCTTTAATATTTTCAGAAATCTTTTTCAGAAGTTTTCTGTGTGGACTCTCACCTTTATTTTTTGATTTCACCTTTATGATCAAAACCATCCTGTCTTTTAGGCTATGAACCGTTCCCTTGCAAATGTGATTCTTGGGGGCTATGGCACTGCATCAACAGCTGGTGGGAAACCCATGGAAATTACTGGAACTCACACAGAAATCAATGTGGACAATGCAGTTGAAATGATAAAAGAAGCCAATAGTATTATTATTACTCCAGGTAAGACTCTCTTGACTTATACAGCAAGATGTTCAGAGAGTGTAATTAAAAAAAAATATCCCAACCGAGCAAAAACACAAAAACCCAAAAAAACAAACAAACAAAAAAAATCAGTGAAGAGGTTGCAGCATGGCAGCAGCATATCAAATGTTCATTGGGTCCATGTGATTTGTTTTTGTTCCCTGGTCAGGTATGTGCTGCTTCATTTTTCTTTATGTGTGTCCTCAGAGTTTGTCCTCTTTATTTGCATTTTAAATTCTTCAGAGCAAAGACTACCTTTTGTAAATTAAGCTTACACCACAACAGCTATACACAAAATTAACTGAATTTCCAAGCACAACTACAGTACCAGTGGTACCAGTTGTACCAACAGATCTGTTAAATCCTGAAAGACAGGATTTTGTTTACACTTCCCATGTACTTGCTCAATTCTGCATTTGTTTATGGAAAAGAAAGGCCAAAAACCCCCATCTGAAATGTAGTTAATTAATATAAATACCGTAATTAAAGTAAAAAAACGCAACCTGAAAACCAAAACCTGAATTGTCTGAAATGATTATGTTGGCTGTTCATGTCATTTAGTAGTATGTTCCCTGAAAGGAAAATTCAGGTAGGGGACAGCTCAAGACTTCTCCTTCAACTGAATGGCATGACTATCATGTTAAACTCATTTTAGCACTGGAATGTGAAGAATGCTAAAATACAAAGCTATATTTCATTTTGCTTCAACTTTAGAGAGACCATCAGTGAGATAGGGTTCTAATTTGGTAAGCTACCTTCATTTCTGATGAAGCTTGCAATCATCTTCAAGGAGTTTGCCTCTTTCTCCTGTGGCCAAACCTTGAGGACACCATTAGTAATGTATGCTTTTTATTTTTATCCTGGGTATAGTTGCTCTGATGTATTAGCTCAGAGAGACTGAAAACATTATTTGTTGCTAAAAGCCGTATGCTGCTGCTAGATTTGCATGAAGCAGATTGAAATTCTGTTGAGGATAATGGTTGTGAAGTAACCTGACAATTGCCCTTTTATCAATTTTTTAAAGTACCTGTCTCAAACATAGAAAAGATGATGTCTTTTTGTAAAGGTGAAATAAGTGCTCTTATAGTTTGACTGGTCAAATCACTGCAATGTAAGTGGTCAGGAGGTTAAAAAAAGAGATTAATTACAGTAGTCAGGCTGGGAATGTATGAGAATCTGATGTGTGTTTTTTAAATTTCTTTATTTAATTTTTAATTTTGAGAACATCTCTATGTGGAAGGTACACTTATTGTCTGCAACTAGTCTTTCTGCACTAAAACAGGAAAATAGGTTAAAATTTTGAAATTCTTTCAGGTTATGGTTTGTGTGCAGCAAAAGCTCAGTACCCAATAGCTGATCTGGTGAAGATGTTGAGAGAACAAGGGAAAAATGTCAGGTAAGTGCTTTCCTTGATGAGAAGTATTACAGGTGGTTTGGTTTGGTTTGTTTTTTTCATTCCATTAAAACCCCTAGTTTTGGTTTAACTTTTTTTTCAGCATTGACAGAGGCACAGAATAGCAAAGTTAAGGACGTCTCTGGAGATTGTCTAGTTCATCCAGCCCCCTTGCTTAGACCAGAATCAAATGGGGAAGTTGCCTAGAATCTTGTCCAATTGGATTTTGAATATCTTGTCTGCAGAGATGGAGACTGACAGCTTCTTTTGGGCAGTTTCTTATGATGTTCAGTCATCCTTAGTGTAAAACCGTTTTTTGTTGTGTTGCAATTTGCAGCCATCGCCTCTTACCCATTTCCTGGATATCCCTGAAAAGAATCTGGCTCTATCTTTTTTATTGCCCTCCATCTATATTTATACACAGCGATAAGATTCTCTTGATCCTTCTATTCTGCAGGCAGAAGAATCCCAGTTTTCAGCCTCTCCTCTTATGGCAGATACTCCAAACCATTAAGTAATTTACACCTACACTTATGGGGTTCCTGTAAGATTTTGCTATTGCAGACAAGACTGCTATTAGAGTTTTTTGAGCACCTCATGAAAGGATTATGGGAGTGCACGTCTCCAGTCTCATGAATTTATTCTTCTGGACTGCTGCTCCAAAAACAGAGATAATTCTTAGATTTCCAGTATTGGCCTCAAGTCCTTTTCTCCTTCAGCTTTTCTGTAGACTTTATAAATTCTGAAAGTCCTGGAAAGCAAACATTATGTCTTTCTTGCTGATTGTTTGAAATTTTGCTTGTTTTGTAATTATGATAACTTAATATTTTAAAATCAGTTGAGGCTAAGTTTTCATTTTGAACAAGGTATTTTGGCAGATGCTGGTTAGCCAGACTCATTCTCTGATTTCCGTATGTTTATTTCAATTAGATGGTGACTTCCCTTTGCAATCATTCCTCTGGTAATTAGGGTTTTTTGGTTTTGTTTTTCTTCTTCTACTACTTTTCCAACCTTATTAAAAAGTTGCATGTAAGCTTTTGCAGCATATTACAGCATTGTGTTGGATAACAGTAGAGTTCTAGGGTTTAGCAGCAATAACTTGTTAGTGTTTAGCCAGGATTTTGCAATTTTGCATATAAAATTGCTTTATGGATGTATTTGTTTGTGCATACATGAGAAATGAGGGTGTGTGGTGGTGTATTTGCTTCCTGGAGTAGTCTTCACACCTTGTTTCTCCATGTTTAGTAACAGCTCTGTGTGTGTCCAGATTGCATTTGAGGATGCCTTAGTTATGCAACAAAAAAACCCTTTCATGGCTAATGTGATGACAGTCTTGTATACTTCTGGCTTTCCTTTCCATGCTTCTGTGGGGGGTTAGCTCTTTTTTTGACCAACCTTGATGAAATAAAAAAAAAAAGAAAAAAAATTGTTTTTTCCTTTTATGTTGGCTTTGCAGGGGAGAAAAGTGAATGTGTCCTAGAAATAAATGGCTTATACTTGAAATGAATCAATTTCAGGAAGGGATTGCTGCAGTGGTTACCTACTATTTTAATGAAATAAATCTGTATTTACAGTTTGTGGTAATTCAGGCCTTTCATCACTTTGCTGAGCTCCCATGGTGTTCATTGAGTGCAGCTGTTGTCCTCTGGTTTCAGTAGGCCTGGAGTGCCTCGGGACCCTAATGCACTCACCATCCAGATGTAGTGACACTCTCACACACACGCTGTGGAGGGCTGCCAGCATGGACACAGGATTGCATCAGTCTGTAATGCCCATCGTGTGCCAAGAAAAATTGCAACTGTCATATGGTCTGGTTTTTTGTTTCATGGCTCACCACTGATCCAGAGAAACTGTTGTTTTAATTTGCTTTGCCTATAGCCATAACATTCTCATTGAAGACTGCAGATTATATAACATGATGCGTAACCTTTGACTAGGATTTAAATTTAGAAATACAGGAGAGATTTTGGAAACTTTAGACTGTTTTAGTTACTCAGTTGCATAGCTGACATCGTCACTCACTTGAGATGGTCTTGCAGCAGATCACATCTTTAATGCATTAGTAAAGTCACAGAGAAAGCTGGATATTACTGAGCCTTGAGTATAGCTTTCCCTTGTCATGGATGGATAAACAACAAAACTTTTTATAGGCTAAATCCCATAGCCCCCAGAAATCTATTTGCCTTGGAGAGGAAATGGCTGTTCTACAACTGGTGTTGTATTTCTGCAAAGTTAGAAGTAAGTAAATTGTTGGAAGTTCCTGCCTTACTAAAGTTCATCAGCCACGTTATGTTGTTTGTAGAACCCTGGTTGTGAAATTCTGATTTTTCCTATATAATAAAACTATATTCTGTAGTAATTTTGTATATAGAAACATAATTACAGTCTAAAACTGTATGTTCTTGTATATGCAAGGGTTGTTGATGCTCTCCATATTCACATCCAGTTTACTGTCCTAGTTTTTACCACAGTATAACTTTCTTGAGACGTTTTCTGTCAATGTGTTTTGTTCTCCTGCATAGTAAGATGTTCTTGATAAGAAAAATGCACTTTGGTATGGAAGGACTCTTACAATTATTCTTCATGTAGACTTTCTAAATAATTACATTGTTAATAAGTTGATTTTTCTGGAAATTCATAGTTGAGAGACATGCATATTGCCTCTTTAACAGCCTTTCAAAATAGTTGGTAGGAAGTTGTGTTCTGGGTTGAGTTTTTTTTAACCTTTTTAAAAGTAGATAGCTTGAAGGGCTTGGTTTTCTGTCTTTTGATGCTGGAGAATGTAATCACTTTTGAACACATGAAAACAAGAGTTTTCTACATTTTTGAATATATGGTAGTATTGATTTAGTGTTATACCTGTGTTTTTAAGTTTTATTGTTCTGATTTTTTTCTCCACTCTTTACATTCTTTAAAGTAATAGAACATGTGCATGATTATCAGTTACACATTTATCTGCAAATTAATAAATAAAACTGATTACCTACAACTGTTTATGGTATCAGTTTAAAACCATCATATGTTGTGGCTCTACAAGAAAATCTGGAAGAATTTTAAAGGATGAGCTGTTAAGATGCTGTCCCAAGCAGCCTTAACACACTGCATAGCTCACATGCAAGATGGAAATTACTGTCACTGATGAGAGGCAGTGTAAGAACCATGTGTGCTGGTGCAGGTTTCTGGGAAGCTGAATTATACACAGCATGAAAACACAAACTATGTACCTGTATGTCAGTTCTTGATTTGTTGTAATCAACTTTGGTGTATGGGCTCTGAATTATTAATGCTGTACGTTAAGGGACAGCTGAAGTCCAACAGGTCTGTTTAGCTCCAGTGCTTTATTGCTGTATTTAGAACTTGCAAACTATGCAGTGCCTGATGGCTTCTGCAAGGATGCAGCTGTAACTGTATTCTCCTGGGGGAGTATTGTAGGTGTGCTGTTGGTTCCATGTGGATTAGCTCACCTCTGGATGACCCTACTAGGTCAGTATATGAGGCTTTGCCTGTAGTTGGGTTCTTGGGAAGGCACAGAGCTAAGATCCATCTGCATCTTACCCCTGCTGTCATAAATCATAGTGGTTGGAAATAGGGAGCCAGTATCAGCCCTTATTTAAGCATGTGTAATTTAGCTGTCTAACTTAATTTAAATTTAGCTGACTTGACTGCAGCAGAGCCACCGAGCTTGATCCATGCCATAGGACTGGTTTTGGGTGCATATGTTGCCTTCAGCATGACAGTAGGTCTAAGCTAGCTGGGCTAGCTCTGTATGTTGATGATTGTAACCTACAGTTATCCATAGGTGTGATAAACATTATACTCTGAGTCATGCTGCGCTGCAGCTGTTACATGGCAGGATTCAAGATGTGGAATATTTGAATGATGTACTTCTCTGTTCATATAGTTTTGGTGGGTTTTTTCCCCTTCCTGTTACATAGAGCAATGGATTGTTGTTTGTACTGAAAACAGAGCTGCAGAGAGGTGTCTAAATAAAGTGAATGAGATGTGAGGAGCTGTAAGTGAAGCAAAACCCTTGGGCAAATATGACATTTAAAGTTTTGAGTAAGCTAAATTAGGCACCAGCCAGATGTTACTTTGCTCTGCCCAGCTTGGGTATAATGACAGGAACCCTATCTTAACATTGATGAAGTGATCTTGAAACACTTCTGTACTGGGTTAGGTGCTGCTATTGTGAGCCAGCTCTTTCACTATTGATTACAAGAATGTTATTTAGCCAGCTGTAATAAAGATAGATACTGACTTTATGAGCTGTATGAAAAGTAGTTTCTATTCTGAGATTTTTCAATCATTTTTCATGCTATAGCTGACTTTTTGATATCACTGACTTCATACTACTTCAGCCATCTTCAGTCCTTTCTATCCCCCCAACTCCAGATGAAGTGCTGAAAGTGCTAGATATGTGGATGTCAGGAGTTTTAGATATTTAGTCTAAATTTAAAATAAAACGCACTTTTTGTATCACTTAAAAAAGTTCAAAACGTAAACTTGTGTGCTGTGTTGTTTTTATAAAACTAGAAAACTAAAAGGTATTCAGTAGAGGCTGGTTAAAAGAGTTGAATATCCTTTTCTCAAGCTATTTACCTATGAAGTGTGAGTAGCAAGGTGATGTACACTTACTTCAGTATTTGACAACTGCTGGTGGTAAGCAAGCCCCACATTGTGTTGTCAGGGTCAATTCTGTGTTTCAGTGAAATACTAGAGTAATGTTTCAAGTCATAGACAACATAGACTGTGACTATGTGTTGTGGTTTAAGATTTCTTCTTGATTTGTAAACAAATGAACCAACCTAAGGGAGTTCCTGCATTACTGATGACAAAAGAATATCAAAGAAACTTTGCAATTTTTCACTTGAAAGCATTTTTGCCATAAAACGTTTCCCTTTTAAAAGAATTTGTGTTAAATTTTTGAACATGAATGAGGTTCATGTTATGAACATCTGAGACAGCATATGTAACAAAATGTTCTTGCTGAAATGCACATAGCTTTGAAGAACTGCTGCTGTTGTGAGTTGGATGCAAGATTGCTGCTTTTATTAGACACATTATGAGCCATCAAGGATTTCTGATATCTATTTTGCATAGTTACCTCAATTCTGAATCCTGCTTTCTATTGGATTTCACTTCAGAGGTGTGTAAATGTTACCTTGTAACATAATGAGAATCTTAGAGAAGCTATAATTTTAAATTATTCTTTTTTACATTCTTGCACATCCAATTTTGAGTAGTACTGGCAAGCTACTGTCATATTTGGTTAACAGACTCTTACAAGCAGACTTTTGGGAGTCACTTCAATATTTGTCCAAAAAAGCTTTTGTATGAGCAGCTTTCTCAAACTTTTTGAATACACAGTATGTGGTTTCAAGCAGAGTCTGTCAGAAGTCTCTAACTACTGATGGTTCGTGCCATAACTCTTCCTGTATGAAGATAATTTGTCCCTTTCTTTTCTTCTTTCCTTGCCTCTTGCCAGGAATGGCGAAGTCAAAGGTGAAATTCATTCTCTTGGCAGCTTAAGTTTTGGCTTTCCAGTCCTTGAAATGAGATTGTATGTGTATATAGTACTTAATAGAAACCTCACGAGTATTTTGTTTTGTGTATTGCCAAAGCAGCTTTGGTCACAAAGGCACTCAAATAATTTTATTAGACACAAAAGAGAATTTTGTTGGAAAAACTATTTTCACTGCCAGAAGAGTGATGAGTTTTCTCAAGGGTACTTCAGAATAAGAGTTCTCCTACTGTACTGTTAGTGATCAAATTTGGTATACTTAAATCTATCTGCAGTACTACACATGGCTTGTGTTACTGAGTGGTGTGAAACATAAGCTGTTAGTAATTTGTGCTGTATGTTTGCTCTCCTTTTGATTCTAGGTATTAGCCTTTGCAACAGGGTCCCAAATGTTTACTAGCTGAATACAATCTATTCCCGTTCTACTATAAAAGCATTCCTTTTAAAACTAGCTTTTATCCTACTCTTCAACCTAGAGCTTAAAGTTGTATGATACCTAGTATTATGTGGATTAATCATGTGTCCTTAATTTTGTTGCTGGAGTTCCAATTGTCTCATGTTTTATTGTATTAGTGTTGCCTTGATGATGGAGTGCTCAGTTGCCCATTTAAGGATGTATTTGTACAGTCTTCAATTCACAAGTGATCTGTGTTGATTGGACTGTGACTTGTGGTCTGTCAGTCATTCCCATCACAGTGGAGTTGAAAATAGAAGTATATGACAATTCATCTGTCAGGGCAAGTTGATTTATTAGTAATTCTCTCCTTTCTGAAGAATTCTGAATTACTTTCATTTATTCCTGACTTGCTTGGATTTCTGTTCTGAAATTTCTCTTCCAAAATCCAAGAATTCAAAAATCCAAGTTTTTTCTTGACTATTTTCCTTCTTTTTCCAAAGTATCTGTAGACTTCTGAATTAAACATTATCTTCAGCCCCATACAATGTTAATCTGAGGCACTTCTGGTGTGCGTGAGTCAGCATTCCATCTGGTGGTAGCTTCGGAGATGGAAAGACAGAAAGTGCACAGGACAGTAGGCATGGATGTGCCTTGCTTGTAAGGGCCATAGATGATCAAAAGAGTACCAACAGGAAACAGATTTGCTTCTAACCAAATATGTCTTTGGTGGTTGCAGCTAAACCAATTTAACATCTCCATTCTGGCTTTTTCAGGTTTTTACTCTTATAGAACTGCATGCATGCTTGAGCACCCTGGTGCCAACCTGTTGGTCTGTCTAAGTTTTAGCAACTAATGAGCAGTGTATTCTAAGTTGTTTTTGAGCTGTTCTGAAAATGTTTTTAAAAATGTTTATGTTTAAACTGTTACAGTTTTTTAGCTCTCTACCTTTTCATTCCCATCTTTTTTTTTGCCCCTTTTCATCTTTTCATTTCCTCCTAAGGTCAATCCTGAGAAGAAAGTGGCATGTAAACCTAATTCAGCAAGACATTCTCTTGTGCTTGACGTCTTGTGCTGTTAATTTTTCTGTTGGATTTGAACGTGTTCATACAAGTGTTTCTTGTACATATTCTAGACATAGCTGAGTCAATAAAGTAATTTGCTAAGGGCGTCTCTAGATCCAGGAGTGCTTTTACTTCAGAAAGGTGGCATGGTCTCTTTGTCTTTTTCATGGCAATTTTATGTAGTCTGTGGTGTTTTCAGTGATGTAAAGGACCTGACAAATATATTAATGTGGATGGTAGTTTTGCTATTAAAAGGTTCATTTGTAAAAGTCCGAAAGAATCTGTCACAAGGTTTGAGATATGGTACTGCCTGGAAGGTGAACTGTTAAAATTTGACAGTTTCATTTTATTAATTGCCATTTGTGCTTATACTTAAGAATTTCTCAGCCTTCTAAGTCACAGGTGACAATTTTAATGTATAAAACACCGTCGTCCAAACTTATTAATGGGGTTTCTTCCCTTTTAGGTTTGGTATTCACCCTGTGGCTGGCCGTATGCCTGGTCAGCTGAATGTACTGCTAGCAGAGGCTGGTGTTCCCTATGATATTGTACTGGAAATGGATGAAATCAATGAAGACTTCCCAGGTTAGCACATGTGCCGTAAGCTTCCAGTAGATTGGGTGATTTATTTGATTCTGTTTTTGCACTGCACAAGGATTTTAACAATAGAAAGTCAAGAAGTCAAGCCATCCAGTTTCTCTTTGTAGAGGACTAGAGCTCTTTTTTGGTGGGGGGGAGGTAGGGGGAGCTTTTTTTTAGTTGCTTGTAGCTGTGAAGTAAATGGCAAATGCTGTATCTTTATTATCTCTGTTACAGCCCCATCCTTGCAGAGGAAAATTATTATTCTTTAGGTCACTTATTGTCCATGACTTGACCCTCTCATGTACTGCAAACCTGTACAGATCGTACTGGCAACTTCTTGCCTATTTACATCTTTATTTAAAAGGCAGAAGGTTGCTGCTAAAGGTTTTTCAGAAGAATATTCAAAAGAAAAGCCAGGCACAAGCAAATTAAAGAGATGTGTGTATTCAACCACATTTAAATATCAAAAGGTTTTAAATTTTGTGTGGTCTAATGAGTCCCTTGGAGTTGGACTGTGGATGTGTGTAGTTTGTTAGAGGTAGCTGGCAGCACATTTGAACTCTCACATAGAATTTTCTGAAAAGTTTGTAAAATACTTGTGGGAATGCTTAACCATTAGGGGTCCTTCTGCCTAGAATGTGCATCAGCCTCAGTGTTTCAATTTCAGGTTAATTTTTCATCAGTGTTATTTTCTCTGTCTTGCTGCAGAAACTGACTTGGTCCTTGTAATTGGTGCAAATGATACAGTTAATTCAGCAGCTCAGGAAGATCCGAACTCTGTCATAGCTGGAATGCCAGTTCTTGAGGTCTGGAAGTCCAAACAGGTGAGATTAACGAAGCTGAATTATCACCTATCTTTAGCAAGCTTTTAAAAACATGGCTTATAGGATAAACTAACAGGATTCTTCCACTATTCTGGTTTCCACAAGAAGCTTTTCTCCAAGTTGTCCAACAAAATGGGCAGTGCTTTGCAAGTGTGATGCACTGTTAATGATTTTAGAATCATCATCCTCATCAAGTGCTTTAGTGAGACCAATGATGACTGCAGTAGAAAGATCAATTAGAGTGCTTCTACTAGAATGTGATTAGAATAAATGGTGGTCTGCTTACATCACAGCCCTGAAACATTTCTGTACTAACACCTGTTTTGTTAAGTTTATAGTTGACAACTTTAATACTGAGGTGGAAATACAAGAATGAACAATATGCTTAAATAAAATAATAATTAATAATTAAAAACCAACAAACATCCCCCTAAAAAACCCAAACAAAACCCCAAAAAAATGTATGGCTGAGGCAAGCAGAGCACTTAGACTGTCCAAGTTGAACCAATAGTTTAGTTACCTTAACAGTTTTGCTCTGATCTAAAGTACATATACTTGTGTTTCCTTGGTGTGAAATCTTTGATACTTTGTTCTGAATGCAGTCCTGGCCTCGTTTGTTGTGTGGGTTATCCATTCAAATACTCAGTCACAGGCATATACATTTATCAGCAGTGTATGTTGCTATATATTGCAATTTGAGAAATAAAAATGGACACAGTTAAGGTAAAGTTAACTAATTTGACACTTAATAGGTAAAACTGGCTGATTTTTTTTAATCTCCCATCTATGAAGTAATACAGATGAATACTAAAGAGATTGTTGCACAAGCATTAATGTGAACACTTATCTGAATTTAATTGCTATCAGGGAATTGGACACTTCAAAATTAGAGTCTCAAAACCCTTCAATGCTATGGTCATCAGTAGACATGCTTGCTTTGACTTTATTACATCGAATAAAGTAAATGCATGTGCAATATCCACAATCTCTAATCTGAAATATAGCACTGTTTTTAACAACAAAATGTTTCTGAAATTTATCTGGATATCTATTTTTCTGCTATATTAAAATTTGAAATACATTTTCATAGCAGTGAGCACCCTGTTTTGGTCAGAGGTTTCTCTTTATTTGTGGAGGTTGGTTTTGTGTTGCCTTTGTGGAAGTGTGGTGGCTGTGCTTTGCTCTTTCAAACGTGAACTCTTTATGTGCAGGTCATTGTAATGAAGAGATCTCTGGGAGTTGGTTATGCAGCGGTGGACAATCCCATCTTCTACAAGCCCAATACTGCCATGTTGTTGGGAGATGCTAAAAAGACCTGTGATGCCCTGCAGGCCAAAGTCAGGGAATCGTACCAAAGCTAAATACTGATTTATATTCTGCTCATATTTCCGACTACAGTTTTGTCACAGAGGTCACAGAAAATGAGAGGTGGAAGAATCTCTCAATGTCCTAAGGCAGCTGGCTTTTGGAGAAGACTGCATTGACTCCTAGGAGATGTAGTTCAGTCAGGGGATATAGACTTTTCTAAAAAGATGGGCAGATTAGCCCTTCAAACTAAATCTCCAATGAGACAATGCATAAAAGAATGAAAATGTTCTTTTTAAGGTCAACATTGTGCTGTTACAAGAAGGAACTAATAACTCACGCCCATCTTTAAGTAGTTACTGACTTCCTCCTCCTTACTGTCTCTACTTCTGTCATGGAAATTCACTAAAAAATACTGTGCCAAAACTGTATTCAGTCTTATCATCAAAGCTGTTTTTTGGCTGGTATGGACAATGCAACTGTTGATTTCATCAAAACTTAAAAATAAATTTCAAACAGATGCGAGCAGAAGCAAGTCCTTGCATGTCCCTTCAAACTCGGGACATTCTCTGAAACAGATATGTACATGATGTGAGATCTAAGCATAATGTTCTTTTTCTTTTGGGGATTGTATGGATGCTGTGAATCAGGAACATTTTAGGAAAGTCACTTTTCTTTAAAATACGGTTCCACTTTTTATGGTGCACACATATGTTAAATGAAACACAGGATATCAGGCACTTGCCAAGTAATCTTCAAGTCTGACAAGGAAATGTGCATTTACTTGCACTGCTTACCTATTTTAAGCAGCTGCTAAATTCTCCATCATTTCCAGTCGTTTGCCTTTTTAAGTGTCTGAGAAAGAATATGGTCCAGTTCTGCACTGGCAGTATGTCTTGCATACCTGATCTGTTCACAGAATTTGGACCACAGTGTTTCAGTTTATTCACTTAGTTTTTAATTGTACTTACTACTTTAGTAGTAGTGATGCTTTCTTGTGATGCTGAAAAAACCACGTTTGAACTCTCACTGTCTATTCTGTTCTTGTGAGATCCCACCTGGATTGCTGTCTTCAGCTCTGGGGCCCCCAACACAAGAAAGATGTTGACCTGTTGGAACGAATCCAGAGGAGGCCGCTAAGCTGATCACAGGCCCTGAGCACCTCTGCTGTGAGCACAGGCTGAGAGAGCCAGGATGCTCGTCAGGGAGCAGAGGAGGCATTGTGACACCTTGTAGCACCTTCCAGTACCTAAAAGGGCAAAGAGTGCGGGAGAAGGACTTTTCACATGGGCATGTAGTGACAGCACAGAGGGGAATGGCTTCAGACTGACAGAGGACAGGTTTAGACTAGATGTTAAGAAATTCTTTGCTGTGAGAGTGGTGAGGCTCTCACAGTAAAGAAGGGTTCCCAGAGAAGCTGTGGATGTCCCATCCCTGGAATTGCTCATGACCAAGGCTGTATGGGGCTCTGAGCAACCTTGTCTGGTGGAAGGCTCCCTGCCCATGGGATTCCAATTGCACCTGGATGGTCTTTAAGGTCCCTTACAACCCAAGCCATTCTATGCTTCTATATTTAAGATGCTGGAGTTCATTAGAATTTTTCTAAATAAATAAGCTATTGTTGGGACAGCAAAGACACATACTAAACTTAAAAGCCAGTGTTTTGATTGTTTGACTTTTCACTAATCTAATTAAAAGCCTGTTTAATTTCCATAAGTCCAGCAAATTTAAATTATGACATAGATTGCTGTTTTGTTTTTTTATTTTAGTAAGTATCCTCAACTGAAATTCAAATATTTGCCTAATAACATGGATTTGTCATAGTTCCATAATGATATAGCAGCTGTCCGTGGTGAAAAGGCGAAATAGAAATCACTGTCTTTGTGTTAGAGAAGACGAACTATTTCGAAGAAAGTCTTGAAATGAATGCATCTTGATTAAGAAAACAAACATTATTACACCATGCATAGAGACCTCATATAAAATACAGCATTTCTTCTTGGCTACCTCTGTTTTTTTGTGACGATCGCTTAAAACACAGATTTTGAACAGGTAATACATTAAAAATGTAACAATATACAGCAGATCTATAATTTTTGCAGATCTCTTTTCTATAAAGATTTGACATAAAATTTTTCATGCAAGCACTAATATGTTGTATACTGCAGGAAAAGGCTTGTAATTGAATTTTAATTTAAAACACTGTGACAGCTATATTTGAATGTAGCATGTATAGCTTCTCAATTTCATTGCATTCAACTTTTCCTTCAGGTCTATAAAAAGGAGGGAAATTGGAGAAGAGGGAAGACAAAAATTAATTCTCCATCTCCCTCCCAGTTAAGCAAAAGAAAAAAAGGGGGATATGAAGGGATTTAACATGCTAAAGCATTAATTTTTGGCTTGTCAAACTTGAAGTATCCAGCTGCAGTACGCATCATGTGCGTTCATAGATAGCTAATAAAAGATCTAGCTTTTCTTTAAAAAATAGCATATGGGGGAGGGGGAACACTTTTTCATTTGTACTTGGAGAAAAACCCCATTCTGTTACTTTGGATCAGTAGTACCATGGTTCTCTTTAACATGTGCTTTACCATGGAACACTAGATAGTTGCTGAAGTGCTAATAAAAAGTCAGTTATTTTTCTCTGTTGTTCACTGTGTTTTTTTTTTCTCCTCTTGTTTTTCCTGAGTAGTTAAGGTTACTTTTGAAAGTTAAAAAAATCAAGCTGCCACCAAAGGATGTTAACATTGAAGGCTGTAGTGAATGGAAATCATAATAAAATATTCTTTTTTCTTTTCTAATTGCATTGGTTCTGTACATTTTTTCATTCTAGGTATGACTGTCACTTGGCTTTAGTAACTTCACTTAGCTTTTCTAGTAAATGAAAAGGGTTAGACAACTGAGAGTGATTGAACAAGATATGAGTTGCTTTTTCGAGATTAAAGAAGATAAAAGCTATACTAACTGACTGGTCTGAGTAGTTAATTTTCCACTGGCTGCAGTGTGAGACGAATACTATCCCTTTGAGCCAGGTACCATATAGATTTGCTTCCACTGTTTTTTAGTTCTATAAGACTGTTGAGTTAATTGCTGTGATGATTTTAGTTTCTGCCTTCAAAGTGAGTGATAAGTGCATAATTTTAGCCATCTGACAGTCTGTTCAGTAATATCACAAGTCTGACATGCAGCTTCCATGTTTTCCTCAAGTTTTGGTGAAGCCCATACTTGAGGTCTCTTCCAGAGGCTGCAGCCTGGCATTGGCTCATGAAGTAACATGTCTTCTCTCTTGATGGAAAAAGGGAAGCATATACAGAGAGCCTGTGGGTTTGTTCTGTGACAGAGGGTAAAGATCTAGCCTATGTCCTGTGGATCTGACTGCTGCTTTGAAGATTTTCCTCTCTCTACTCTATCTCTAGCTTATTATCACCTAAGAGGTGTTTGCTCTAGCCTGACTCAAGCAGGCTGTGAAAATTGATCAGGTCATGGCAAAGCAGTGCAGCAAGAGCGAGAGTATGGAGGACACTTGTCTCTGTTCAGCTGTGGAGCTTCTGCAGTTTGCAGTGTGGGTCCATGACTCACTAAGAACTTTAATCTTTGCTGTTTTTTTAAAAAAAATGTATTTCTTTTAATACAAATTGTTACAGTACTAAAGCTACAGAGAAATTTAGTTTTGAAAGATCTGCTAATTTGGGCGAGTTCTGTGCTGAAAACAGATTCAATTTGATTAGATTGGTACCGGCTTTCATTTGAACTTCTTGGTGGAGATGTCAGCCTCCCTGTTGTTACAGTGTTCAATTCTTCCAGTTGGGAACAAATTATATTTTTTTTTTAATTGTAATTGGAATTTCCTTTTCAACTGTAATTAGAATTTCCTTTACTGGAATTGTCTGCAACCTCAGGAGACCAATTTGCTCAGCTGTCTCAGTGTCCAGCAGCACTTCATACCCTTTAGCAGGCTGATGTTCTCCCCCATGTCTGGAATGCATTAATTGTGCAAGCATCCAGTCCCCTCTGCAATACCCACCTGGTGTTCTTATCTTAGACAAACCACATTGAACATCAGAGGAGGCTGAAAGGGAGGGGATGCGTGGGGGGAAGATGGACTGAAAACAGAACTGAAGCCCAACTATCTTTCATCATTTTTCCACTCTTCTTGAGCCAGATACTTATTTAGATCAGAAATTAAATTTATAAAATATGGTATTTCGAAGAAAGACAGTTCTTACTTTCTGTACTGAGAAGTACAAATTTTTTTGTGCTGTTAAATTTGCTTTGAAATTTTACTGTTTACAAAATGACAAGGTTTACAAAATTACAAGGTTTCCGTTATGTGATCTGTCAATCTGTCTCTTCAGATTCTTGCTTTAGCATATGATGTAGTTTCTAAAATTCCAATCTAATATGTCACGTGTACCCCACTATGGTGGTATCATGCAGCAAGCATCATGATCCATTCAAACAGAGAAACTGGGGACTGAACCTGCTTCTGTATTTAAGTTTGAATAAAAATTCCAGCATTTGGAGTTTTATCCGCTTGCTAAGTTTTGGATTCTGTTGCAGGGCACTGTTGGAGCACACAAACCTGGATGGTTTTGAAACTAAGCTAGAACATATATTAGCACTATGAAGGAACATTTAGTCTGTAGGACTTAGATTAGAGGTCATCCATAGTAAACATCCTCAAACAGATAGAAATGGATTTCATATCCTCATCAGAGAAGGCCTTGTTTGCTAGGTTTGTTTTTAGAGTGCCATTTGAGGTAGTCTTCCAGATCTGCAGTGCATGAGAAACGATAAGGGGATATATTTCAGTGTCTTCCATTCTAAGGCTCAGTTATTAGTAGTAAGTAAATGGAACATTTAAATTCAAAGAAACACACAAAATCAAGAGTGTTTTGCACTACCAGCACATGTGAGTTTTTGTGTATGCTTTCAAATTCTTCAGGAAAACTTTACAGAAGGGGATTTGAGTAATAGGAAATGTGTTCTGTACCTAAGAAGTGGAGTTCAAATACTCATTTCATAAGACTTGCAATGAGTATTGTTCCATCAATATCATGAGACTTGCAATGAGTATTGTTCCATCAATATGATTAGTGTGGGGTGGTTTATGAATAAACAAATTACAAATGGTAATAGCTTGCATAATACAACTGCTCTCCAGCTGCCCAGAGGATATATTGCATTGCTGTCTTAGGCTGTTGTGATACAAGGCTCTTCCTGAGAGGAAAATACATAATTAGATGTTTCCATAAATGGAGCTTGTAATATTTCAAGCTCTAAGTTATCAAAAAGATGATTTTTTTGAGCAGCAGAAACAATCCTAAAATACTAATTTAAAGTATTAGTATTACTTGAGAAATCAAGGGACTAATTTAAAGCCCTTATTCCAAGGTGATCATCCTAATGACTTCTAAGGAAAGAGCGTTTTCTCCAGTTGCAATGATTGTGAGGAATGTTAGCTAATGAGAAGACAGTGATGAGGAAAAAGTGTTAGAGGAAACAACTATTCTGCTTTGTCTTTTTCACTTTTGCCTGGAGACACATTTTCTTGAGAATAAATGGGATCATATTCTTCAACTGAACATATGAAGAGGGAGCTTTGTGTTCTTCCTTTAATGACAGTTCATCAGTTTTGTTTTACCCCATACACTCCTGGGCTAGACGTAGGCCTCTACATCACTTTGAAACCTGGCACTTCAGAGTCCAATTTTCTGCACAGCATATATAAATTACATGTGAATATCCATTTTTACTCGCTTATTAGAGAAATGGTTGTGTAAATTCTACATTACTAATTTTTGAATTCACATCTCTTGACACTTTATTGAACTCCTTAGACTGTACTTCTGCAAAACAGTTTTAATTGGAAAAGGATATGGAAAATAGCTGTTAAACCTTATTTATCTACAACTGTTTTTAGAATATTAAGTAAATAAGGTACAAAATATGTCTGTTAATCATTTTGATAAGAAGGTCAAAATGGGCCAGAAAAGGGGAAAAGAATTGTATGCCAGAGAATTAAAAGAGTCATGCTGTAAAGATCAAACCTCACAAGTAAGTGTGGCTTGAAATTAAGGTTATACATGATGCGGATCTGTTAGATGTGCTAAGGATGATATTTACTAAGTATGATGTTTTGCAATTAGACATGATACTGTGAAAAAGGCCCTGTCTGTCTCCTGACCATTTTTTTCCTGTCCCTTGTTGACAAAACCCCATAAAACTGGTTATTATCCAACCATTTCCCTATGAAAGGAAGTAACAAAGGAACTGGAGGAAAGAACTGAAGGGGCTTCACACTCAGTAAGAAGTGTCTTCTGAAAAAAGATTGAGGTTGAACTCCAGCACAGCATGAAATTAAGTTATTCTATTACATGGTCAGTCTAACCCATAATTTAAAAAAATCCCTAACAGAAGGGAAACTAACAGCTAATGAACATAAAAAGCTCAAGCAGATGTTAAAGCCGTCTCATGCAGTAATAACTAGCAGTTGCCTATTCCCCTTATTAAAATAATACAGATGTGGGTAAGAAAAGCCATTTAATTTTCTGATTTTACATTCTCAGAAGCTCATTTCTGTTGTGGAGCATGGAACAATGAATTTCAGTGTTCAAGAGTTTTATGGTGGATTTGTTGATGTACAGACACAACACAGGAAGTCTCTAATCAACATCAACAATCCTTATTTTTCACTATAATTTTGTCTCCCAAAATAATAATTGAATAATTAAATGTTAGTTTAGTGAACCATATAATTTGGTGTGATTAAATTGTATCTGAGTTTTGAAACCTGAAGAAAAAGTAAAATATGCCAACAATGTGCTATGTAATGCTATAATTTTCATGTCATATTGCTGATGCCACACTGACTTATTTTTTTAAATTTTCAGAGATATTATAAGCCACACTTTATACCTGGTTAATTTGATCTGTGAAAAGTGTTAAGCTGATCCATGGAGCTGCTGAACTTTGGCTGTAGATCTCAGAACCACTTTTTTTCTTTTTCCTTTTTTTTTCCCCTGCAGGATGATATAGCAAGTAGCATCTGTTGCCTTTTTACCTATTCATTCCATTTTGTGTTCTGTGAGAAATTATCATGATATTTTGTACTTAAATGCTAACTCTTTCTGAGGCATCTACTTTCTGTTGTCCACCTCGGGAACTAGTCATCTTGGCAAGTTTTTTATGGAGTTATTCTTACAGGAAACCCTACAATAGCCCCACCTTACTGCCCTGTATCTCTAACTCTGCTGCCAGTTTTAGAAAAGAGAAGGAGCTTCTCATTTCTTCTGGACCAGCAGTTGTGGTTGTTCCTAAAATGTTACGTGCCCAGTGCCCCTTTGTCTTTGCAGTGAGGGTGGTGAGGCATTGGCACAGGTAGCCCCTTATGTTCATTACAGCCTGCATGGGAGATGATATGAGTCAGAAGCTTCAGTTTTAATGTGGAAACATGCCCTAGTGTATTGTGTTACTTTGGGACTACATAGCATTCATGTTAGACATACATTGCAATTCCGCAGTTTGTTAAATTAATTTTGTTAAAGGCTTAAGTAAAACAATATTGGGATGATGTTGAGGTGACTGAAGACCAAAATACAGTTTGAAAACCTTAGTGTAAAAAACGGTGTAACACTGCACATAAAAAGCCTTGCTTTGGTTATCCTGCAGATGTGTTGGATTGATCTCCCTAATGAATTGCAGTGCATCCCTCTGAATAAGAAGGAGACATCTGAAATTTTATGTTCTTTGCTGATGACATGAGAAATGAGAAAACTTTCAAGAGGGGCTGATTTTG